TCTCACCTCCAGGCACAGTGTGCTTCCTGCTGCATTAGGTGTCAGCAGGACGGAGTCATCAGGTAGAATTGATGGTGGCAGCGCCTCGGGCCTCCTCCAGGGCACCTTGGGCTCCTCTTGCTTTGGCTGCAGAGGGGGGACTGAGGGAACCTCGTGCTGCAAGTGTTTGCCCGTGTGTGTGGCAAGGTGCTCAGGGTCAGAGGCAGGCCCTGTATGCTTCTACCAATTTCTGTGAGCACTTCCCCTCGCCCTGCCTAGTTCTGGAGGCCCTGGGGGCCCTGGAGGCTCCCGAGCAGGTGTCACCAGAGAGCTTTTTGCCCTTCCTCTTGCCAGGCCTGCAGCCTGCCTCTGACCAGGCAACGGATCCAAGGCACACATGTGACAGCCTTGCCTGGCCTCTTGATCTATCCAGGGAGAGGGAGACAGGGTCCTGAGCTGGGGGCCTGGTGAGGCCTGCCCCAATGGCCCCCAGAGTCCTTTGCGCTCTCTCTGCCGAGGCTTAGGGTTTTGCTTTTCCCTCTAATTTCCCCCCTGTGTCTCCCTTCCGCCTTCTCCCCCACCCTCCTCTCTCCCCATTCTCTTCCTCTGATGATGATGTCATGTGTGAATGCTGCCCAGCAGCAGCCAGAGGACAGACTAGACGGTGACATTCAGGGTGAAGACGCCAGGTGGGGATGGGTCCAATGGCTTATGAGATGGTGTCACTAAGATGTTGCGATCTTAATTTTTATAATGAGTTACAGTGATCTCATGTAAAAGAAAGCTGTGGAGGATAAAAATAAGTCAGGCCCATAAATAAACGTGGAATTTGGAATTGTCGGAACAAATAACTGTCGCTCTCTTCTCCAGCACCTGCGCCTTTATTTTCAGCTGGCCACTGGGGGGAGCCCACTGCTTCCTGGTCACCCCGGCCTCCCCCATTTTCACCTTCCTTGATTTACCAGGCTGAGCAGAGCAGGACAGAGTTCCCCCTCCCCACCTTCTGCTTTCCCTCATTGTAATGTTCAGTTTCGCCAGTCCCTAGCATCTTCCCTTGACTCTGATTCAAGATTCAATAATTAAGCTAGGCATGATGGCATAAACCTGTAATCCCTGCAATAAGGAGGCTGAGGCAGGAGGATTGCAAGTTCAAAGCCAGCTTCAGCAATTTAGTGAGGCTCTAATCACCTTAGCGAGACCTGTCTCAAAATAGAACATGAAAAGGACTGAGGATGTGGCTCAGTGGTTAAGTACCCCTGGGTTCAATCCCTCGTACAAAAAAAGAATTAGAGTAGGCCTTGACTGTGAAGGGCCCTTGGAGAGAAGGGAGACCTGCAGCCTCCATACCTCCCTGGCTCCCCTAATCTGCATTAATCTGCATCCCTTGGTGGGGGGCTTCATTCCCATACCAACTCCCCCAGCACACCCCAGTTCTGCTTCCCTCACCCTAGAGTTCCCTGGCTCAGGGTCCTTCAGCCCCCATATCCCTCCCAGTAGAACCTGCCCTGGTCCCCCAGCAGGGCCCCACCACTGAACAGAAAGTATCGATTGGCCCAGGGCCGCCAGCCTGCAGCCTGCTGCTTGCTATATTGGAATCGATCTTCCTGGCGTTTCCTGGGCTGCTCAGTCTCGGGAGGGTTAGGGCTGCTTGAGAACTTGTGGTGGCTGGAACAGGCTCAGGGGTAATCGGGAGGTCATCCTGCCAGGACCCATACACCACAGGTCAGGAATATCTTTCATTGACAACAATGTCCTTGCTTCTCCATTCTCTTCCACTGAACTTCCCACTCAGTGTGTGGGACAGGATTTGGAGTTAACATCCCCATTTTACAGATTAAGATCTGGGGCTCCCTAGGGGAGATTTGCTGACTGAATGGATAACTAAATGAGTGGCTAGCCTGGGGTGGCTGGAGGACGGAGGTGACTAAACCCAGGTGCCTCTCTGGCAGGGCTTTTTTCTCCCAGTGCTCTGACTTGAGGTGCTTGGGAGGCCCCAGGAGATGAAGTCATGTCTGAGTTTTCAGGGTTGCCTGGAGGCCAGCAGTGGAACCTCTCTCCTAAGGGCATCCAGATGGCTCCCCCACCAGGAGCCCCGCTGGTCCTCCCAGCTCCACTGGGCCCTGCAGAAAGAAGTTGAGTGTGTACGGGGTGGGGAGCCAGGACAACTGAGGTACTCAGATGCTCCAGCTTCTTTTTGTTAAATAAAGCCAAGAATCTCGAAAGTTCTTAAATTGATTCTAAAGCATTTCAAACCAAAGTCCCTCCTTGCTGCTGCCCCTTGGAGTTAGCAGGTTGTCTCTCCAGCTCCCTCCCCATCTCCCACCCCCCAAAGTCTGCACTGTCCCCTCAATGCCAGGGGCGGGCGAGCCCTGGCCTCTAGAGGTGGTGAGACTCATCCTGCTCCTGTCTCAGTTCAGGCCTGCTCAGCGTATCCCTCCCCACTACCTAGCCCTTCCCCAGAAAGATGAGATTGTGGTCACAAAGCACAGCCTGGGGCTCCCACTCTGCCCCCTCTCTGCCTGCTCTGGGATCACTCTGCCATCATCTGCCTGGAAGAGCCAGATGAGTCTTGGGGGTCCCCCACAGTCACTGCCCGTCTCAGACAGATACTCTGCTTGCCCACTCCAGACGTGTCCCCCAAGATCCCCCCAGGAGGTAGAGGAGGAAGGGCATGAAGGAGGACAGGGAGGAGATAAAGGTCTCTTCTGGGGCCAGGAGGCTAGCAGCTAGAAGAGGGAATTTAGAAACCTGTAGCCGCAGCTATGTATGTTCAGAACCCAAGGAAGGCAGAGGAACAAGGCTGGCTGTCACAAGGGGAGGTGTCTTGGCTCGGGCAGGGCTAGGGCTGAACTCCAGAACGGGTTCCAGGATCTCTTCCATATCAGGGAGCCGTTGGCATTGTATTAACTCAATATAGTTTTTATTAACTCACTTTAAACTTAAATGCTTTTACTTAGAGGAAACCTTATCTCACTGCAATCACAAAGGAACAGTATCTATGAAACAAGTAGTTGGACCTTCTCATTGGGATTTTTTTCCCTAATCCTTATAAAAATAAAGGTACAATTATTACAGTATAAAGCAATGTTCCTCTCAAAGTCATCTCTGTACCTGGACCTCACTAGGGGAGCACAGCAGGGGACAGTGATTGTGGTGTGACGGATGAAGGATCCCTTAGGAAGGGAGGGGGTGACCCTGATGCCTAGCATCTGGGAGACTGGTAGATAAGCAAGGAAGCCCACCCTGCTCTGGGCCATGCACCCTCAATACAACTGTCATCTGCAAAGGGAAGTGTGGCGTGCCAACGTAAGACACTGGTATCAAATTTGGCCTCTACCACTCACTGCAGCTTTGGGCTTGTCACCAGACCTCTGAGTCTCTATAGCCATCTCTGAAACGACCACAGTAACACCCATCTAACGAGGGAGATAGGGGCTCTTGGGCCATGATAATGGTGGGGAGGCCCTGGTAGGCTGCGGATCTCCGTGCCGGCAGGAGATGCTCTTCCCATGGTTTTGGTGGGAGTTTCTGGATCCTCTCAGGCTGTGAGCTCCAGATGTACATGCCTTAGCCACGGCCAGGGGAGGAGTGTGTGTGTGTCTAACTCAGTGGCCTCGGTGGCTTTTCTTAAAATGCGGCTAAATTCCCCTTTTCCTCCTGTGGTTGGCAGAGGGTAACCGAGGCTTGGCCGCAGGCCTGATGAACACTGGATGCATGGAGGGAGGCGGGGCACTGGTGAATCTGGCCGAGTCCCAGAATTCCCAGCCTCAGCCCTTTTTGCCCTAGTTGGCACTTAGAGAAGCCCCCCTACCCCAATCAGGCAGTGTGAGGACAATCAGGCCTGCAGGGCCTGAGTCCCTAGTCCTAGGCTACACTTGGAAGGGGTGCTGCTTTAGGGTGGTGGGTTGCGGGGATGGGTGGGTGCTGGGGAGGTTGCTTATTTCCCAATGGGGATGATTTCTGGGAGAGAGAAAGGGCAGAACTCTGTTGTATGCCCAGGAATATGGTTGAGCGTGGGGTGAGGACAACTTCTGGAACCTCTAGCCTTGGGTCATGTGAGCTCAAGGGTAGGGAACAGCAGGGCAGGAGAGGCCAGGAGCTCAGGTCTGGTGGGCATCTGGGAAGGGATTCAGAGTTCTGCGTGGGGACCTCAACCCCCGGCCTTCTCTTTGTTTCTTGCTTCTGTACTGTCCTTTGTCCCCTGTGCGTCTCTTATGGGTCTTGAGATTGTGTGTGTGTTGGGAGGAGAGACTGAAAAAGTGGTGGGGTAGGGGACTGAGCTGTTCTGTCTGCTTTCTTTTTTCTTTAAGTTTGTCCCAAATCCATCTCTCGCTGTTCTCTCTGTGCCAGCCTCTCCTGTCTGTCTATCTGTTTGTCTCTGGGAAGGGAGGGAAATGGGGGTCCCTCTGTCCCAGACCTTGGGCCTCCATCCCCTTGGGAAGCCCTCACTCCCCAATGTATCCCAGTCCTGGCCATTTTTACAGGCAGCCCCCAACCTTGAGGATACTCTGACCTGGATATGCAGGTCTGAAGGAGAAGGCTAGAGCCTCCAGCCTCTCCTTAGAGGACGCTCTAGAAAGGTGCACCGCGCAGGCTCCGTTTTACATCTTTCAGGAGCATAGAAAAGCCACCTCCTCCTTTTCCTGCTCCTGTGTACACCAGCTTTAGAAAGGGGAAGGGGTGTGTGACCAGAAAGGTGTCCCACCTTTTGCCCCACTCCTCATGCTTTGGTCTCAAGGACAGCACCTCCCACTGTCATTATCGCCCCAGCCTCAGGAGGAGGAACACGAAGTTGCTTCCTGGCCTTGCTCCCCACCCACACCTCGCTAAGTGAATTTTCCACCTGGTCTACCCTCCCTTAGTACCCCACGGGGGGACCGGCAACTCTGAACGCACCCCAGAAGCCTTTCTGTCCCTAAGCTTAGGCCGGCTGCGACCCGCCCCGCAGGGACCCCCGGTGGGGGTGGCAGCCCCAGGCCAGGCACGCCGTGACCCCGCTGCGCCCCTCTCCCCTCTCGCAGATCCGGAGCGGAGCAGCCCCCCCATGCTGTCTGCGGACGATGCCGAGTACCCGCGGGAGTACCGGACCCTGGGGGGAGGGGGCGGCGGGGGCGGCGGGGGCCGGCGCTTCTCCAACGTGGGGCTGGTGCACACGTCGGAGCGGCGGCACACGGTGATCGCCGCCCAGAGCCTGGAGGCTCTCAGCGGGCTCCAGAAGGCGGACGCCGATCGCAAGCGTGATGCCTTCATGGACCACCTGAAGAGCAAGTACCCCCAGCACGCCCTGGCCCTCCGAGGCCAGCAGGACAGGATGCGAGAGCAGGTGAGTGGGAGCCCTGCTGCGGGCTGGGGCGGCGGGCGGGGAGGGAGGCTGACCGGTGCTCCCGTGCCCCAGGCTCAGTCCAAATGAGAGGCGTCTGGGGCAGATGGGAGGCGGGAGGGCAGAGCTGGGGAACTGTCTCCCCAGGGCAGTGGCCCTGGCTGGCCTTTTCTGGAGCCTGGGGAAGCGGATTGGGGGCTCAGCTGTGGTGGCATTTGGAGCACGGATTGAGTAGAGAGAACCCAGCCTTTTCACCTCAGGCTGTTTGGGCAGAAGGGCAGGAAGGTGTGCCTTGGAGGCCGAGCAGTGGCTGGGAGGAAGGGAAGGGACAGCCATGGGGACTGAGGCTTCTGAGCCCAAGGGTCTGCCCAGTGGTGGAGTTGGAATGTTTGGCTTTGGCACCCCCAGTGGGCCCTAAGAGGTGGGGTCTGTGAATTCTCAGCAGGGTGGATCTGATGTGTCCACACTCCCTTCAAGAATAGAGCCCCAACTGGGGTCTTTTACCTCTTCCTCCCTGATTCATCCCAAGACTCACTGAGTGATTCTGAGCTAGAGGTCTCTCTCTGTGTTGCTTTGTTTGTTTCCTGGTTACAGAGGGAGTTGGGGCCTTTGCCTCTGCCTCTGGACTGGACGTTTTCCTTCCATTTGGGGTGGGGCGCATGCATGCTAGGCCAGGGCTCCATCACCAAGCTACGCCCCAGGCCCAACGCTTCCCTTTTCAACCTTCCCCCAATCCTTGGGTTCCCGACTGCACCCCTCCACCAAGCATGAGCTTCTGATCTGTAAGAAAGTTCTTTCTTGGGACTAGTATTCTGCTTTCTGTTCTGAATTTGTGGGGTGCCTTAATGATTGCTGCACATTAGCTGCTGAGACTCAGGTATTGTCCCCTCTGGGAGAAGAGACTAAGGGATGGTGACACATCAAATTAGCATCCTTTCAGTCAATACTTGGGGAGTGTCGCTCTGTCTTGCTCTGTCTCCCTTATCCAGGTAGTACTGGGTGTGGCTGGGGAGAAGCATCCCTGTCCCTACCCTCACTGCAGGGAACAAGGACACATTGGCACATTTCTGGTACCCTGTTTGCCCCCCCTGAGGTCACCTCTAGTTCTGTCTGGCTTTTGCCTTCCCCCAGCTCCAGAGTCCTCCTGGGAGCAGGGTCAGGTTGGGATAAAGAAGAGCTACAGATGAGCATCTGGCCCTCCGTGGTTGCCCTGTGTGCTCTGGCTTGGTGGGAACAGGGGCATTTGATGACAAATGGGGGGAAAGGGGAGGAAGGATGGTTAAACTTTGTATGAGGGACACAGTTCGAATGGAGAGGGTTCAGAGGAGGGGATATCAGGTGGGCAGACCTGATCAGGGAAGGCTTCCAGAAGGAAAAGCTGCTTGGAAGGAGGAAAGGGTTTGAGGAGAGGAAGAGAATGCTGTCCTTGGAGGTGCGGGGGTGGGGGGCAGTGGCATGAGCATATACCAGAGTTGGTTTGGGGAGTGGCGCAGATTTCCCCTTGGCTGGTGCCAGAGGCTCAGGGGGTTGGGGAGCTGCGGGATATACATACAAGGGAAGGCTGGAAATTGGGACCAGAGAGCGTGGTGTCATGCTTGTTTTGGAATGGTGACTAGGAGGGCCCCTAGGGGGCTGGAGGCAAGGAAAGGAGAAGAGGAAGAGTATACCTGGAAGGATGAAAAGAAGGGGTGGCGATGGGAGGGGTGACTAAGCGTAAGTTGTTTGCTGCCTGGATCTAGGAGGCAATGACGGGAAAAAATGGGGTGACAGAGAGATGTTGGTGCCTTGGAGAGATCAGGAGGGTGGGGAGGAAATGTCTGGGGGGGAGGAATATAAGAGGAGTTGAGGAGTGGGTGGGGCCTTCAGGGGGGATGCCTCCAACTTCAGAGCAACCACAGCTTCAGGAGGAGACTTGTGAAGTAGGTCCTGGGACATAAGAGGGCCATCAAGGCAGAGAGAAGAGAGCCTGTGATAGTCAGGGAAGGGTACCAGGAAACTTCTGCATCTATGAGGAAGAAAAGGAAGGCCCTAGGGAGCAGCTGCTGGAAGAGGACCTGTTCTTCCGAAGTCCAGATGAGTGAGTGGGGAGCAGCCAGGAGTTATGGGCCCGGAGAGGGCTAAGGACTCATTTCTCTTGGCATAGTGACGTAATGGCCAATTTCAGGGATTAAGGAGATGGGAGATGGTGAGGAACCAGAGCCCTGACCACAGACCTTCTGGGAAGGTTTAGCTGGAAAAAGATGAAGCTATCCTGGTGGTAGCTTCAAGGGGTGGCAGGCCTGGGAGACAGGATGTGGCCATGTTTAGGGGCCTCATAGGCAGCTGGCATGTTCACTGGCATGAGCAAATACCCAGGGAGTGAATCCAAGCATAACCACTCTCTGAGCGTCCATTCCCTCCCTCAGAGTCTAAGTGGCCAATTCACATGTCACAGGGTGCTGGGGGCCTAAGCATGACACTGGCTCAGTGGCCCTCAGGGGAAGGGAGGTATGAAGCTGAAGATGCTGAAGCCCAGAGGGTTGTGAGGACGGGTCCCCGAGGAATCAGGTCTGGTGGCCTTGGGGTAGGAGAGGAAGTCACTTCCACTGAGTTAACAGGGAAAGGAGATGTGCTGTTGGGGCAGAGACAAGTGGGGTGAAGTTGTTCCTACTCAGTGTTCCCATGTCTGTGAGGCCTGAGGTGGCATCCTCAGGAGGAGGGAGAAGGCCAGGAGCAGCTCCCTGTGTAATATGTGGCAGGCAGGCAGGCACTGGGAGGAAGTCAGGAAGGACACAGGGATTTAGTTCAGGAATATCTGGTAGGGAAGCCCCTGCTCTGGGCTCAGGGAACCCTCCTCCCGACAGGAGAGACAAACATCCAGAAATCGCCCTGGTACTAGTTAGAGATGCAGCCAATGTAAGAGACCCTCCATCCCTCTGTGGTGTGACCTCTGTGCCCCAAGGCTTGCCCCAGCCATGCCCTTCCCTGCCCTGTCACAGCCCCAGCGGCTCCTGCCCGCTCCCCCTAATGGGGTGTCCCCCGCTTCACACACACAGGTTGGCGGCTGGACCGTGGACCCTGTGTGCCTCCTCAGCTCCCTCTGCTCCCACCTCCATGGCGATTCCGCCCCCTCCGGGGCTGGCCAGCCTGCCCAGGTGAGTCACCCACCTCCACCACCCCCAAACCCATGGCAGAGCTTGGCTTTGGGGAGGAATTTTTTCTTTTGGAGGGGGGATATCCAGAATTTTAATTTTGCAATCCTTTCTCTTTTATGTAGGACCCCCCCATTTTGGGGAGACATCTATGGCCTGTACCTGCAACTCCCCTGGTTATCTAATTTCCTACAATGACCTCCCCAAACTAGCTGGTTTGGAGGAAGGAGCTTTTTGAGGGACCATGCTCAGGACTAACACACACACACACACACTTCTACATTCTTTCTCCTTTAAAAAGGAGAATCCCATATCCCATCTTGCTCCTTGCATTTCCAGAGGTCTCTTCTTCTCCACCCCCCTCAGGAGATCATCTTATTCCCTTATCCACACCCTACTCTTCCATTTCTGAGCACCACCAACCTTCCTCTGATGCTCTACCATCAGGAAGTGCTACAGGATGTCTCTCTCCCACCCTTCTTTCTATGCTCAAGGCTTATCTCAAGTTTTTAAGAACATTTGGGCATCTTGCCATTGGTTCTGTCCTTGTTCCCAGGTTTCTCATCAAGTCTCAGTTTCCCTGATGGGACACACTTAGGACACTAGGGCTGGGCTCCAGCTCAAGCCTGGACACTGACATGGGAGATATCTGAGGCCCAAGGGGGGATGAGGGACCAGGGAGTCCGTTGCAATAGGGAGGGGACTGCCCAGGAGGGGCTGGGCTTGAGGATGTTCAGCTTAGGAAGCTGAGGAGGGATAGTGGCCAGATCCAGTGGAGGGAAGGGGTGCCAGTTCCTCACACAGCCATGCCTCATGGAGAAGAGCAACGGGGCTTGAAAATTAAATGAAAGAAAATTGTGACCACATAGGACACAAGCCTCCAGAGCATGGCCGTCTGAGCTGAGCTAACTCCATCTAGCAACAGATTGCTGCTGGCGTCACTCAGGGCACTCTGCCCACTTCCTTTCGGGTTCTCCGTCCCATCTTGGCTGAACTTTGGGGAACAGGGATGTGTCTGCTCCCAACGCTAGACAGCAAGTGAGAGACTTGTCCTGAGTGACTAAGTGTGTGGTGGAGGCCAAAGTGGGGCTTAGAAGACATGGTGATGGGGCAGAGGACAGGTGTGACGTGCACAGGCAGGTTCTGGGTGTCTATCCCCCTCCCCAAGAGGTCCCCTGATGGAGCATCTTGGGCTGTGATAAGGTTAGGGTGACCGACAGGAGTGAGGCTGGACTTGGTAAGCTCAGTTGTCTCAGGTGGTGGAGTTCTAGTATGTCCACATCTGGAATCTGCTCTTGTGGAGAAAGGAGAGCTTGAGGGGACCTTTGCCCCAGGGCTTTGTAATTACCTGAGAAAGTGGCTGTGCACAAGATCTTGCAATCACTTGATACTTAGAATTCATCACACCCCTTATCCCCCAGAACTGAGTCTGAGGTTTTTTGTTTTTGTTTTTTCTAAAGTGCAGGAACAGAGACATTCAGCAGAGGACCAGAGTCACACAGCAGGGCAAGATCCATCAGAGGCCAACAAGGAAATTTAGGCGTCATAGGCCTTCCAGACTGGCTAGGGATTAAATCATAGGAGAATTAAAAGGACAAAGTGCACAGCTGAGACCCTGGCGAGGGGAGGCTGTGGGCTGGAAGGCGGCGGTAGGTCAGACCTTTAGGGGTGGGCACAGTGAAGAGGACCGCGGGAAGCGACTAGAGGTTAGACCAAGCCATAGCCCCTCCCCCCGCTTCCACTAGGCTGTCTAACCTCCCTTCCTCTTGCTGCAACCCGAGTCCCGGGCGGCGGACCGGCGTATCGGGTGACCGCGGCGACGCAGCCACCAGCCTCCGCCGCTCCGCGGCGGGGCTGCGCCGGCGGGGCCGCGCCAGGGGAGGGGGCCGAGAGAGGGGATGTGCACGGCGGCGCGCCGCGCCGCGCCAGGTGGAGTCGCGGTTACCGGGGCGACCAGGGCCCGGGCCGGCTCGGCGGCGGCGGCGGCTCTCGCATTGCAGCAAAGGGCACCGGCGGCGGCGGCAGCTGCGGAGGCGGCCGGGGGAGGGGAGAGCCCAGGCGGGTGGGTGTAGGGGGCGGCCCTCCCTCCCCCGCCCTAGGCGGGATCCGGGGCTGGGGCCCCGCGCATACACCTGTAGCCACAGGTAAGGGGGAGCGGCTGTGGGGCCGGGGTCGCAGCCTTGGGTTCGTCAGGGGGCGGGGACACGGAGATGGGGGTCCCGCTCTGCGGCACTCAGGGATGATCCCGGGCTGGGGAGCGCGCAGCCGTTGCGGGTTCCCAGTCTCTGAGAAACGCCCCCTCCCTTCCCCCACCGCATTAGGTGCCCTCCGCGCGGGACGGCCCCCACCCCTAAATGCGGCAGGCACCCCCTCCCCCAACCTTGGAAAGTCATGACCTTCGCGGGGTGCGCCCTCGCCCCCGGCGGTGCGGCGGATCCCGCAGCACCCCCCTCCACGCACGCACTCCCCGTCGGGCCGGGGTAGGTGTGGGCGGCGATCCGCACACCTGGGGGCAGGGTGCCTGCGCGTGGCGGGGGGAGCTGGCGCCCGCTGGGGCGCGTTGCGTAGCCCCAGGCTGGGGGCGGGTGTTTACGTGGACTTGGGTTCAAGGGAGTTGAGAGGTGGGTGTGTGCGTCGTGCACGCCGAGTCAGGGGGTTAAGGGGCTGGGGGTGCGCACCGTTGACTGGCCTTCCTGTGGGAGGCTGCGTAGTAGCGGCTTGAGGTCAAGGAGGTTCATGCACTCACCTAACCTACAGGAGACTTGGGCCCAAGGGATGGTGGGGGATTTCAGCTGGCTGAGCTAAGCCTCCCAAGAGGCTTGACCCGCCCCTGCCACAGGGCCTGGGTTGGGGAGAGGGAATGGCCAGCTCCCCTCTACCAGCCGCTAAGGAGTGGGAGTGGGAGAGGGAGGGGCTTTAACCCTCAGCACCAGGCAAAAGCTGTTTTCTCTGCTCACCAAAGAGTTGGTTTGCTCCCCTAGGTCTCTGGAGAGCCCCTTTCCCTATTTCTGAAAGCCTTGTCCCAAGGGATGCTGGGTTTCCATCTTAACCTTTTAGAATCCCTCTTATTTTGCCCCAACTCCTGCAAGATCCTTCCTGCCAGTGGTTGCCCCTGGCTGGGTCTCTCCTTCACAGCCCTTTCTTCATTTGCCTTCTCACTGCCTTCTGGGAAGTCCAGACCCCTCCTGGAGAGTGTGGAGGGAGGTCATTCTGCCTTAGTATTAAGGTTTGTGCTAGGGGTGGGGAGCTGGACCTCTGGGCCTTTCCTGTCCTCTGCCCTCTTTCCCAGGGGGCTTTCTGGTCCTGGGAAATTCCCAGGGAATAGGCCCAGAAGGCTGAGCAGCTGGGTGCCAGGAGATGGAGGGAGTGGGGCCTGACCAAAGTATTCGAAGCCACTCCTCCTCGTGGGCTGGTCCTATTTTGTTGGCTTTTATTCTCTGTCACCTATTTGTTGAGGGCCTTCTACAAGCTGGGCACTTGTTGGCACAGCAGGAGGGAACAGACAACAGGGGAAAGGGGGCTGGAGTTGGGTGGAGAGTGACTGACTGGGAGTGTGCCCCTTGGAAAAAAGGGAAGGAGCCTCTGCTCACCCCAGGCTGCCCCTGGGTCAACACCCTGGAGGAGACAGAGGATGGGCTGTCTCCTCAGGCCTCTTCCCACTGCAGTTTCCCCCTCAGAACACAGTGAATTACCAGGAAACCAGAGGCCTCAGGCCTGGCAGCTCAATATGGAAGAGGATCATTCTTCCTTACTTTTCAGAGGGTGAAGAAGCAGGATTCACTTCAAAGAGGTTCTAACAGCTCAGATCCAGAAGCCCCAGGATTCTGATCATAGTATCACTCAGATACCCAAGTTGTTCCCTAGGCACAAATGTGGCTCCTCTTCCGTGTGTACCCTTTCCTGGGGACTGGCTGACCTTTCCTGTGGCACTGATGCCACCACCCTATGCTTTGGGCCTTTGGGCCATGCTTATGATCCATTCCTTCCAGAAGACTGCCCCATGAATGTGCCAGTCTTGGGACCCTGGGGCAGGCCCACATTGAGGGCATAGCCAGTGTGGCTGTAGCCAGGCCCTGCCCCATCTCCCTCTCAGGGATACAAAGTGGGTCCCAGTCATCTTCATAAGGTACCCTGAGTCCAATGCTCAGACATTGGTGGCGGGGTGGGGGTGGGGCTCCTTTTGCCTCTCTTAATTCAAGAGATCACTGCCTTGACATGCGATGTTTGGGACATCATAGGCATGGGAGAGTGGCTAAGGTTGTCAGAGGCACCTGGATCCAGCTAGTAAAGCAAAAGAGAGTAATGACTCTTTCTCTAAGGCCATGTGTGTGTACTGTGTGTTCAATGATTTGTGTTTCTGGAGAGAGAGAGAGAGAGAGTGTGAGGAGAATGGGTGTCCACGTGTCATGTGTGATGGGGACTCTGCGTATACTGAGGGTGGTATGAATGGTGTCAGTGCTTCTGTCTTCTATGCCTGTGAGATCCTGCATGTGAGCAGGTTGGGGTCCTGGGCGTGTGTGTGTGTGTGTGTGTGTGTGTGAGTGGGGATGGCCCCATATGTACAGGTCTGAGTTTCTGTTTATTTCTGGGGCTATTTCTGATAGCTTCTAAGTGCTTGTGTGCCTCGGTGGGTGTATTTTGTTGCTCTGGGTGTGTTGGTGATGTCCTTATCTAAGGATGTAAAAGTCTGTGTGAGGCTGTGTGGGAGCGTGTGTGTTGTGGGGAGCTGTGGGTGGCCCCTGTACACACTGTCTGTGCCTGGGTTGGGGAGTGAGGATCACAGGCCTTCTCTGCAGAGCCGTCCATCACAGCCAGTCTGCAAACCTGACTCTCATAAACCTTCCAGTGCCCTCTGCTTGGCTCTGCCTGCCCCCTAGGGTTCCACTCCCTCTCCCTCCCCTCCTCTTTCAAGGCCACAGCAGCTGTGGGTAGAGCCTGTTACTCAGCCTGTCCCCTCTCTGCTTGTGAGCATCCCCTAGGACCAGTGGGGGACAGGGCGGGGGGGGGGAGGCGTGTCCATAGATTATCCCAGGCATTGGCTGGGGTACAGACTTTGCCTTCTTCTGCCTGGTATGTGACTAGTTTTTCATCTTTTGGAGCCAGTGTTACAGGGAGAGATGGCCATCAGGGATCTGGTGGGGGCAGTCCTGGCAAATGAACCTCTTCATCCCAGTCCCTGCTAGCCTCGTCCCCACGGTAAAGGGCTGCCTTAGTATAGCCTGTCAGTCAGGGCACCCTTCCACTCAGCCCCTTTCCAACTCCTCCCAGCCATGACGGCCTTTGGGTGGTACAGGATACTCAAGCCTGGTGTCCTTCCCCATCAGGAACCTCCAATGCCCCTTTTCTCTGCCATGGCTCTGAGGCCGGGGACTCTTGCCTGTTTGTGCCAGGCACCCCAGGGCCAGGCCATCTGCTGCCTCTATCTTCCTGCTGAGGCTGGCACCGGTCAGCAGGGTGCCCTCAGCCTTGCCAAGAACCAGCCCGGCCTCAGGGTGGCTCTTTCCTTGTTCCCAGCCATCTGGAAGGGCCTTCTGGTCTCTAGGGAAGGCAGGGTGACCCGAGTTACTGTGAATGAGGGGAGCCTTAATCCCCCCATTCTAGGGATGTGAGGAACCCTGTATCTCTACCCAGCCCCAGGGTATTGCCCAGTCCCCAGTCTCCCCAGCTCCTTTGCTGCCCACAGCTCCCTATTCATTGCCCAGTGCTGGGAGTCACTGGCATCTGTCCACTCTCCTCCATGGTCAAGGCCCATCCTGTCACACAGGCCTCCCTGCCCTGTCCTGGGACCCAGCTGCCCTCTTCCACCCCCAGCTCTGTGCCCTGCTGGGGTCCAATTCTGATCCTGCTCTGCTCCATTAATGTGCCTTTTGCTTGCCTCCCTCCCACCCCTGAGACTTGAGTCTACATACTCAGCATTGAAGGTCACTTGGTGTCTGGCCTCAGCCCCCTTTGCAGCCCAATCTGCGGCCCCAGCAGCCTGGACTGTGGACTCTTCTCCCACACTCTTTCTTGCCTGCTCCTGGTGCCCACCCATTCTCTTCTCCACCCAACACACCTTTCCTTCCAATCTCCAGCTGCTCATTTTTCAAGACCCAGCTCAAATGCCATCTTTTCTGGGAAAATTTCCCTGGCCTGCTACAACCCATCCCCGTGCCATCTCTCTGACCCTATGGCCCAGATTTATCTTTTTAGATTCTCTCCTGGGTCCCTATATCATGGTCGTCTGTGCCTTTTCCTACATGTATCTTTCTGAGGGCTGTTACTTTAGAGTTGTGCCTAGTAAATATCTGGAATGCTCTCTCCTGCCTCCACCAGCAAACCTGAAGCCTTCCCATCCTGGGTGCACCAAGGTGTTCAGGTCTCAGAAGAGAATGGGATGTAATGGGCATTACTTCCTTCCTGCTCCTGAGGGGGTGGAGGGCCCATGTCCCAGGGCTGAATGTTGAGCTCCAAGGGTCTCTAACCTGCCCCCTGCTGCCCTTTTCCTCCCTGCCCCCTCATAACCATCTCTTCTCTTATTTCCATCAGCAGCCAAACTACTGGAGTTTCAAGGTCAGTGTGTGATGCTTCCGCTCCCATGACAACTGCATGTGCTGTCTCTCCCCTGCCCCGTCCCTCCCTCGCACATGCTTTGCACCGGGGTGTGAGTCTGCAGGGCCCCCTCTGGTGTGGGTGCGTGGGCTTTGGGGCTGCAGGCTGTGGCTGCTGCAGGCTGTGGCTGCTGCTTTGGGAAAGACTGGGTTCACCTGCCAGGGGCTTGTGGATTGATTGGGAGTTTGGGCCACCTCTGCTGGAGATCTGGGCTGGAGGTGCTCTGTCCCTAGACTTTCCCAGTCCACAAGGGGCATTTTGGAATGAGAAGGTCTCCCCAGCCCAGAGAATCTGCTGGCTCTGAGTCAGGGCCCTGAACCCATGATCTTGTTGAGGCCTCGTTCCTCGAACTCAGATTGCACCTCCTGGGGAGGTCCTGTGACTCCCTTTCTTACTCCCCGGCTGTGGAGGAGCTAGTGACTGTCAAGCAAGACACTGTCCTGTACCCCTAAAACCTGTTTTCTAAGTGGAGGGCTAGGCTCGGGGGTGGTGCCTTCTGGCCTCCTTTGGAGAGCTTGGAGTTATCCAAAGCTAGGGAGCTGTCTACCCTCCCCAGGACATCCTGCTGAGCCCTATGGGAGCACCCTCATCCATCTTCCCTGGTGCCCAGGCCCAGAGCCGAGCGGAACCAGTTAGACTACTACTTGCTTGCTGGAGTCTAGGCCCTCTCTCAGGCATCATGATGGGATGGGAGGCCACCATCCCGAATCCCAGGTCTTGTTTGCATGCATTCTCCCAGAGCACCGCCAGGAGTCCTTGAATCAGGGAGTCCCAGGATCTTAGTATCCTGGTGTTAAGCATAGGCTCTTTGAAGGAGGCAGGAGAGTGTAGTGGTTAGATGCATGAGCCTGAGAGCCAGATTACTTGGTAGTGAATTCCAGTCTGCCACTAACTAGCTTAGTGACCCAGAGCAATGTACATTCCAGTCTTCTGGGCCTTAGCTTCTCCTTTGTAAAGCGGAAGGATGTCTGCATCATTAAATTGTTATAAAGATATAATAAGAAAATGCCAGTCTAGGCAGTGTCTGGCTCACAGCAAGATTTATATGGTGGCCAACCTCAAAGGCTGTCAGAATCCTTGTTGATTCCAAAATCTGATTGTGAGGTCCGAGAAAGAGGTTTGTAAACGCTTCCCAGTGCTTCTGCCCCAGGCTGTAGGCAGCCTTGGGGAAGCTCCGATCCTGCTTTGACTACCCGACCCCTGATGCCCTCTGCCTGGCCTCTGACCAGAAGTCATGATCTTCCCCGAAGGTGCTCCAGGGATAGTGCTCACTGCCTTCCACAGCAACCCCTTTCCCGTCTTTGGAGAGCTCTGCTGCAATCACTATTTTGTTCTCTTGCCATCTCCTTAGTGGTTGGAAAGTCCTTCTAGATGTCTCACTTTCCTCTGCCCTGTTGTCTCAGCTCAGGGATGAAGAAAAGTGTGATGGGCTTTCCTTCTTTGGGGCAGGGTTACCTATAAAGTCTGTGAGAATGGAAAGGCGTTCCTGGGGTCACAACAGAGACATGAACATGTGAAACAGGGAATGTGGCAATTATTTTTTCTCCCAGGGTTCCTGTTTCTGCATTCAGCCACCCCCAGGAATGCTGCCCCCTTCATGCTGCCCCGTTCCATTCTCTTTCTGGCATCTCACTTGTGTCCCCCACCATAGCCCTGTGGACCCCCTACTTTTATGTTTACCAGTTGCCTCATTCTGCCTGCATTGGTGACCCCTTCACCCTTACAAGCCTGGCAACCCCAAGACTGCCAGCCCAGCCCTACTCCTGACATTGTGCTTGCCCCTCAGAGTTCCCAAATCTGACCTCCCAAGTCCACTAGCCCTTAAGGCCACCTTGGGGACAGCTGGGCACGTTGCCCATCAGAGGAAGATGCTCTCTCATCAAGAGTGCTAATCTGATTAGAACATTAAATTGAGTTAATGGAAAGATGGAAATTAATTAGGGGTTAATCAGAATTTTGGGAAAGAGGGAGCTAACGTGGGGAATAAATTATTTCTTTTCAGAGATACTATTATTGTTGTCTCTTTAAAATATAAAAGTAAGATATTCTAATTGTATAAAATTCACTTAATTTTAAAGAAGTGTGTATAAAACTAAAAATAATAGTTCTCTTTCAACACTGAGATAGCTTGTATTACTGATTTTGAGTGATCTATTGTTAAAAATATCAATTTATTTTATAGAAAAATACAATCAGAGAACATGACTTTTATACAACAAATGCATACATAATATATACGTAATAATGTACATAATATGGAATGATCTAGATCTGATTCATTTTCTTACTTCCTTAAATAAATGAGCTTTTGTACAGCAACCTGGTTTGAGGGGAAGAATTGGGGCAGAATGGCAGGGGTGGTGGCCCTGGATGACAACCCCAGGCTTCAGCTAATAGTAAGCTCTTCAAGTACAATTGAAATCATAGTGTGACACCCCCACCCCCAAGGAGAGAGCAATCCAGCTGTCTGTGACGTCCTTCCCTACCCCCAGCCATTATCCAGAACTATAGCTTCAGGGAAGGGACTGTCATTCTGGGGATTGGGACAAGGCCAGCCAGGCTGTCTGGCCACATGGCAGCTTGTACCTCACAGAGAGGGGCCGAGGCTTGACACACACACCCTGTGGTCATGTGTATCACACTGGACTTCACATGTGTAGTGGGTACTAAGCATGTAGTTTGTTTGAATCTGGGTTCTAACTGGCAAATCAAGGACATTCTCCATGCCCAGCTCTGTGAGAGCCCATACCTCCCAACACTGGGATTCTGGGTCCCTTGCTGTTGCTTTCTCCCTGGGCCCTACTTCCCATTACCACCACCCCCAGCTCTCTGAACTCCAGGAAGAATAAATTCGCCGCTCACAAACCCGCCGCTTAATTAATGTCTGGAACTAATGCCCCAATTTGCTCAACGATTCTGCTGTTCACCTCGGTGACAAATTTGTGTTGTTGTTGTTCTTTGGAAGCTTAAAATAGCAGGCGTGCCCGTGGCTCCAGCTCAGATGGCTTCTTGTCTGGCTTCCCAAGTTGCCTGAGTCCTTTGCCCACTGCTTACCTGTTGGGTGTCCCAGGGAGGTCAAGGCCCCAAGAGGTGGGGGGACCTTCCTGCAGCCATACAATGGGTCTGGAATCCAGGAGACCCTCCTGTGATTGTGTACGCCTGTCGCTGGCTGGCTGGTGGGAGCTCCCTGGGCCTGGACTGAGGCAGTGGCAAGGCAACGGGATCATGCTTGATTCTTCTTGCCCTGCCCTGTCCCTGCAGACCCGCAGCTCGCGTCACACTCAGGGAGCTCAGCCGGGGCTGGCAGACCAGGCAGCCAAGCTGTCCTACGCCTCAGCTGAGTCGCTGGAGACCATGTCGGAGGCTGAGCTGCCCCTGGGCTTTAGCAGGATGAACCGCTTCCGACAGAGCCTGCCCCTCTCTCGCTCAGCCAGTCAGACCAAACTGCGATCTCCAGGTACGGACCAGGCAGGCTCCTCCCTCTGCTCGTCTCCTCCAGCCCTCCTCATCCCCTACACCACTACATCCCTCCTGAGCTCAAATCCCTCTTTCCCAGCGACCACCCCTGTCAGGGCCCCTCTGCTCTCTTTCTCCACCCCTCCTTCTGCCTCATCATCCCCTGCCCCTTCCTTCCCTTCTCTCCTCTCCCGCCCTCCCTCCTCTTTACCCCAGCCCTCTCTTTTCCTACTAGGCTTTTTAGCCCTTTCTCTTATAGAGCAGTCCCTCTTTCCTTCATCCCTCCCTTTTTACCTCTCTTCCCTCTCTCTCTCTCCTTCAGCACCTCTCTACCCTTCCCTAACCCCTTCCCAGTTTTTGCCCTACCTTCTCCTGCCCGCAACCCCGTTTCCCGATCCTGCTGCCTGGGATCCTGGTGCTCTGGGAGGCAAGCCCTGGCAGCATGAGGAGTGCCTGGGTGCACCTGCACTCGGGGGCCGCATCCAGCCTCAGACCCTGCCTCTGTGGGACCGGCTCAGCTCCCGAAGGCTCCCCTTGCTCTCCGGGCGGTTGGTCTGGCAGCGGGGGCAATAACAACGAAGGTGGCATCTCCTTCGCAGGGGTGCTGTTCCTGCAGTTTGGGGAGGAGACGCGGCGCGTGCACATCACGCACGAGGTCAGCAGCCTGGACACGCTGCATGCACTCATCGCGCACATGTTCCCGCAGAAGCTCACCATGGGCATGCTCAAGTCGCCAAACACCGCCATCCTCATCAAAGACGAGGCGCGCAACGTCTTCTACGAGCTGGAGGACGTTCGGTGGGCGCGGCCCCAGGGGAATGGGTGGACTTCCCTATACTCCTCCCCAGGAGATTACCCCCAAGGCCCTTCCCCAGCTCCTTCTAGACCTTCCCTCTGCCCTTCCCCTCTCCTCCGGGGCCTGATCGTCTGGTCCCCTCACCCCCTCCCTTCTAAATCTCCCATCCCTGCGGGTTGAGAGACACGACCTGACTTAACCTGGAAATGGCTTCACAGGCTGAGGAAGTGGTCCTGGTGGAGGCTGTGGTGTGTGTGTGTTGGTGGCAGACAGCCCAAGACACCAAGATCCACTGAGCAAAGGACTTAGGAAGGGGTTGGGGTCCTGGTCCCCTTGCCACCTCTCTTTTTTTCTGTGAGCAGTAGCTGCCTCTCCTTACTGCATGCCTGAGAGATGCATGGTGACCCTCTGCACCCTTCCCCCAGGGATATCCAGGACCGAAGTATTATCAAGATCTATAGGAAGGAACCACTGTATGCTGCTTTCCCTGGCTCACACCTCACCAACGGGGACCTTCGGGTATGAATGGGGATACCCAGGGCGGGGACCTTAGGGTATGAATGGGGATGCTCACGGAATTGGAGAGGCTGACAGAAAGTGGCCCAGGCAGGTAAAATGTGGGCAAATGTCAAGGAAACCAGGGAAGACTAGGAGAATTAAGGGGGCTGACCCCTTAATTATGGAATTAATGGAGGAGCCCTCTCCTCTCACCGCCACTTCATCCTTGCTCCAGTCCTGTGCACTCAGGACTTCTCTAACAGACCTCTAGGTATTCTAAGGCCTCTCTCCTGAGCCACTTATTCTCCTTGACTTCCCCACCCCCACAATGGGGCGGGCTGAGGGGTGCCCCTCTGTTGCTTCTCCATCTACAACTTTGCCACACACCCTCACACACCTGTGCTGGGAGCCCTGATGGGTAAGGTGCCCAAAATACACTGCAGGAGAGAGGAAAGGCAGAGAACAGGGACTTGCTGGGCGTCAGGGGACTTGATGCTGGCTTCTCAAGCAAGGGCAAAAGGGTTCCCTTTGTGACTAGCCCTGTGGGGTTACGGAGCTGTCTTCTGCGCAGAGAGAGATGGTGTATGCTTCGCGGGAGTCATCGCCCACTCGGCGACTCAATAACCTGTCGCCGGCACCGCACCTGGCATCTGGTTCGCCGCCTCCCGGGCTACCATCTGGGCTGCCGTCGGGGCTGCCGTCGGGTTCGCCATCGCGCTCGCGTCTCTCCTACGCTGGGGGGCGCCCGCCCTCCTACGCTGGCAGCCCCGTGCACCACGCGGCAGAGAGACTGGGAGGTGCCCCTGCCACCCAGGGCGTTAGCCCCAGTCCAAGCGCCATCCTGGAGCGTCGCGACGTCAAACCGGACGAGGACCTGGCGGGCAAAGCGGGTGGTATGGTGCTGGTGAAGGGCGAGGGCCTCTACGCCGATCCCTATGGGCTGCTGCACGAGGGCCGCCTGAGCCTGGCCGCGGCCGCCGGCGACCCGTTCGCCTACCCCGGCGCAGGCGGCTTGTACAAACGCGGCTCGGTGCGCTCGTTGAGCACCTATTCGGCCGCTGCGCTGCAGTCGGACCTGGAGGATTCGCTGTACAAGGCGGCCGGCGGCGGCGGCCCGATCTACGGCGACAGCTATGGTTTCCGCTTGCCGCCCTCCTCACCACAGAAACTGGCCGACGTGGCAGCGCCCCCCGGAGGGCCCCCGCCGCCTCACAGCCCCTACTCAGGGCCACCTAGCCGGGGCTCGCCTGTGCGTCAGTCTTTCCGAAAAGATTCTGGCTCTTCCTCTGTCTTCGCTGAGAGTCCCGGAGGCAAGACCCGCAGCACCGCGGGCTCCTCGACAGCCGGAGCCCCTCCTTCCGAGCTCTTCCCTGGGCCTGGGGAACGCTCGCTCGTCGGATTCGGGCCACCAGTACCAGCCAAGGACACGGAGACCAGGTGAGAGACACTTGCAAGGCCTTAGGACTATGGGAGTGGGGTGGGATGGGAAGAGGAGGCACCCCGCAGAGGCCCTGTCAGGTGTGTTTGCTGAACTCAAGAGATCCCAGAGTCCTTGAGATCTACAGTGATCTTAAGTGGGTGGCTAGAGAGCATTTTGGATATGGCAGGGAGGGCACTGAAGAGATGGGCATGCCATCTCTTTTGTGTGCAAATCTTGAAGCAGTGGGTGAGAGGGCCCCAAATATGGACTCTGGAGATGTGAGTTTGCATGTGTTCCTTGAGCCTCAGTTTCTGCAACTGTAAAATTCAAGGGCTGAGCCAGCCCTTTTTTTTTTTTTTTTTAGTCAAATTCTAGCTGGAACACAGAATTTGTAACCATGAGAGCTGTCCAGCATAGGGTCAGCTGAATTTCACTGGGGAGTGGGGTACTGGTAAGAAATAGGGAGGGGAGAGAAACACATTTTTTTTACCTAGCCTTCAGGCCCGGGAGTCCTGAACCACCACTCAGTGCCCTCTTAAGGGTGCAGGGCTGAAGGACGTAGCCAGGGTGAGAGATAACCTCTGCCCTCAAGCTGCACTGCTGACTGGTGAGAAGCCACCTGTCTTCACACAGCAACCTTGTGGCCTTTGTGACAGGCACTGTACCATTTCCTGATGCCAAGTTGGGCAAACCCAGTTCCTGCTTGGTCTAGTGGGGAGATACACTAAAACATCCTTGCATTGCCCTTGAGTGGTCTGGGGAAGAGGTTCCTTAAGGCCACTGGAACTTTGGGATGGCCTCAGAGAGGAGGTAGGGAGAAAAGCATAGAGGGGCATAAGCAAAGCATGGAGTGGTTAGGACAGATCGCTTAGGGAGGTGAGAAATGCAGTAGGGGGTGGGCTTGTTCTTTAGGCATTTGGTCTCTTTGTGTGCCTGAACTGCAGCTGGGGATAGAATGTTATTTCTCCTGGTGATCATTCTTAGAAATGAGAGGCTGGGCAGGAGTCATGCTTAGAGCAGGGATTGCTCAGAACCACCTTCCTCCCCAGGGAGCGAATGGAGGCCATGGAGAAGCAGATTGCCAGCCTCACAGGCCTGGTGCAGAGCGCCCTACTTCGAGGCTCAGAGCCTGAGACACCCAGGTACGGTCCCTCTCCCAACACCACTGCCAGGGGCAGGAAGAAGGGGCAATGGGCATTAGAAGCCCTGAGCTTGACTTTGCCAATGTCTCGCTGTGTAACCCTGGGCAAGTCCCTTCCCTTTTCTGCTGTTCCATTCCATGATCAGGGAGCTGAAAGAGATGACATCTAAGGTCCCACTCAGCTTTGATGGTCTGGGGCTGGCCTGGACCTCTGATGACCATCTTCTTTTCCCTGTGCTACAGTGAGAAGATTGAAGGCTCCAATGGAGCAGCCACCCCATCAGCACGTGAGTGACCCTTCCCTTCTTTTCTCACAGGGCCTTTCCCTCTGAGTCAGTTTCCTAATATGTAAACTAGGGATCAAACAATAGCTACATCACTGGACTTTCGATGGATACATGAGTGTTCACCTTAACCCAAGATGTCACTGCACTGGTGCTTTGTTCCTCATTGTTAGAACTGATTATCACTTAGAGCAGGAAGCAAAGTCATGTGTCTCTGGCTACTGTGTGGGGTCAAAAGTGGGGAGGATCTTGCACCAGTGCCTCTCAGGCTCACTTTTTATTCCCTTTCTCCCATCCTCATGGTCCCTCCCTGTAGCATGCGGGTCAGGCAGCAGAAGCAGTGGGGCAACCCCTGTGTCTGGCCCTCCCCCTCCCTCAGCCAGCAGCACCCCTGCAGGGCAGCCCACAGCTATCAGCCGGCTGCAGATGCAGCTGCACTTGCGTGGCCTGCAGAACAGCACCAGTGACCTGCGTGGCCAACTTCAGCAGCTGCGAAAGCTCCAGGTAATGCTCCCCTCAAGCGCCACCAACTAGCCCAAACTCCTTCCACAAGTACTGTCCCACCCCCCAGTGCCCCGCCCTTCCCCATGGAGCTCTGGGGAATCCCTTGTTGCTCATACGTCCCTACCACCTGAACCCCTTCTCCCCCTCTTCTTGAGCTCCTGCTTCTCATTGAACCTCCACCTTTGGCTCATGCCCCCCCTACTAGCCCTCCTTCTTTCCCATGGCTCTTCTAGAGCCCCAGGCCAACCCTCACCATAGATATCATTGCGGGTGGGGGGCAACTCCAGTTCCTTCTGGCCCCGCATACCTCTTCCCCACGTCCCCTCAGCTCTCCCTTCCTGAGCCCGGACAGTCTGCTCCGTCCTTCCTGGCAGATGGTCCCACCAGTCAGGAGCCTGGCATCGCTGTGCCGGCTACTCGAGAGGGCCCCAGGACCCGTCAGGCGAGAATAATGCGCAGAGACAGGATGGGGAGGGGGCAGAGAGTTGCCATCTGGGCCAAGGGTAAGGTCTCGCCCACCCCCCTCCAGTCAGGCTTGGAACTGGGTTTGACCGTTAACTTAGCATTAACTTGGTCCTCCCGTCCCAGTCACGGAAACTATCAACCCCAGCGCTTGAATCCTTCATGCCAGGCCCGTCTTCATTCAGGGCTGCTCAAGGCCACAGCCACGCAGCTGCACTCTAGGCAGGGCCCAGCGTAGGACCCCCGTCCCGCGCCACATTTTCTCATCCTGTTCTTCTGCCCCTACACTTTTCCCAGAACTTCCCCTGCGCCACTCACCGCCCCAACCCTTTGCTGCTGCTCATGGCCACAGCACCTTCTGCACTGCCCAGCATAGCACCGCCCAGTACAGCACGGCTCCCTCCACTGTCCACTGCCCATTCTCCTGCCTCCGTTTTCCCCCAAATTTAGCCCTCGGCCCCTACCCGCACGGTCCGTGGCGGCTCGTGGCCACAGCTAAGCAGCCGCATCTTCTGAAGAGCTGGAGCCGCATAGGGCTGCCCTCTGCACTCCCTCGCCCCGCGCGCCCCCTATCCCTCCCACCCAGGTCCACGCGCCCATCCTTGCATCCCGCAGCTCCAGAACCAGGAGTCGGTGCGCGCGCTGCTAAAGCGCACAGAGGCGGAGCTGAGCATGCGCGTGTCTGAGGCGGCGCGGCGGCAGGAGGACCCGCTGCAGCGGCAGCGCACCCTGGTGGAGGAGGAGAGGCTGCGCTACCTCAACGACGAAGAGCTCATCACCCAGCAGCTCAAGTGAGGCTGGGCCCGGCCGCGGAGGGAGGGTGGGGGGCGCGGCCGAGGCCAAGGCAGCCTGTTTTCCCTGGGAGGCACAGCTCCCTTCCTTCGGAATCACAGGTGACGTTGGTTTGTTCTGGGGCCTGATTTCTCTATGACCCACAAACCTTTGACCATCTGGCATAATTCCCGATTTCTTTTTTCTGGCTTGGTGCCTGCTTTTGCTGTGGTCTTGCTTCCTCATCATTTAGTCTGGCAACTTCACTCACATGTGGCTGGGGCCTGATTTCTCTCTGACCTCTGCCTGCTTTTGTTCTGGCCCGTGACCCATGTAAATTGACCCTAGGGCAGAGCATGCAGGTGGAGTGTTCAGGCGCCACCCCCACTCCAGCTTGGTGATGACTAGCCACCATTGTCACCACTCCTGTCCACTGATCTCTGAGACCAGATATAGCCAAGAAAAACCCTCCTTGCTTGGTATAACTGGAACTGAGCTGGAGTGTTCTGGAAAGAAGAAAGAATATCGAACACCCCACCCCAAATGATTGGACACTGAAGGGTTAACAGAAGACCGTCTCCATCCAAATTTAGCAAATGGCTGTCTGGCCACAATTCCATTGTCTGGCACCTTTGAAAGGAGAAGCTGCCTTTTGCTGTCCATTCAGGAGGGAGCACCCCCACCCCACTGCAGCTTTCCCTTATCAATTACTGAGTCTGAGGCAAAGACTTCTGCTTCTTCCCTATGTCCCTCCCTCTTGGTGACACAGGGCATTAGGGGACTTGGGGTCTGGCTCCAGCATCAAGGGGCTATGTGTTCAGGGCAGTTCTTGCCTCAGTGCCCTCATCTGTGTCCAGTATTAAGATTTTTGCATTATCTGGAGAGGGGTTGGGTTGTACTCAGGAGTGCCCAGGAGCCAGGAGAGCTGCTCACAGAAGCTCAACTTCCTCCCTAAGTCATATGTGGAGCCTTTACAAAGGCTCCTGCTCTATCAACCTGGGGTCCACGCAGCCTGGTGACACATGCCTTAAAGAGGCAGGAGGCAAAGATTCATATAACATCATATGGCCAACATGAAGTAAGGGGTCACCCCATGTGGAAATAAGCCAGCAGCCGCTGCCTGTCACTCAGGTGCAATGGCTTAGTGAAAGCTCCAGTCAGATTTCCATTAGACGAGCAGCTGCCATCCCCCTCTCCTAGGGAAATCTCTTTACTGGACTTTCCTGTCCTTTCCTTGTTCCTTTCCATTTGGCACAGCAGAGCTGGGTTGGAATTTTCAAAAGAACTTTACTGAGACATTAAAGAAAATATAAAAGCACAGAGGTGGAAGAGATGAAAGGATGGATTTATTCTCTGGTCATTAATGAGTGTCTGGTCCTTGTCTTCCTGGGGGCCTCTGTTCTCCAGGAACATGCAGGCTCCTCACCCCTGCCCTTTGTGGGACCCATTGCTCAGACTGCTCTCAAATGACCTGAAAAAACTGCTTCTGTCAGGATTCTCCATCCTTCTGGAATGGGCCTCCTGCCTATTTTGAGTGAGACAGGGGCTAACTGTGTGCCAGCCCTGTTGTGGCTCTGGCCCAGCCTTGAAGGCCCTCCCTGCACTCCTTCCATAGCCTTCCGAGGCATTAGCCCTGCAGCCCTTCCCCACCCCCTACTCTGCTGCACATGCGCTTGTCTTGCCTCATTTTGCTGTGACCCTTCCTCTTTCCTGGCATCTTGCTAGCAGTTAGGCTGGTTCTGTTTCATCAACTTGGCTCACTCATGTGTCTGTCTAGCCAAGCTCTGCCGGGACTCTGCCCTGCTGACTGAGGCCTGTTGACTCCTGGACTCAGCCTCTGCCTAACCCACCTTTGGAGATGAACAGTTATGCAGGGCCCTCGCTCACACAGGCCCCTTGCTGAGTGTAATGCTCTGCCATCACCCTCCTGAAAGTCTTAAGTTTTGAACTAGGAACTAATCTCTCATTTTGCAGTGGGCCCTGCCAATTATTTAGCTGGTTCTGTACTGGCCTTCCCCTCTGGACCCTTCTAGGACTAAACACCCAGTCACTTTTTTCCCCCCTTCTTAAGGTACTGGGGATGGAACCCAGGTCCTTGAATATGCTAGACAAGCACTCTACCACTGAGCTGCACCCCAGCCCTCAGCCATTATTGTTATTATTATTATTATTATTTTTTGGATACCAGGGATTGAACCCAGGGGCCCTTAACTACTGAGCCACATCCCAGCTCTTTTTATTTTTTATTATGAGAGAGGGCCTCGCTAAGTTGCTGAGGCTGGCTTTGATCTCATGATCCTCCTGCCTCAGCCTCCCAGCCTGCTGAGATTAGAGGTGTGTACCATCATGCCAGGTTTTCAGCCACTTTTTAATCCACTAGTCTAGACAAACTGATCTGGAACTCATTTGCAGAACCTGACCAAGTTAGGGGCTTCAAAACTTTGGAGAATCGAATGACAAGAGTGAGCCTAGGGGGTCTTGTCCTCCCTCTGCCTGAGAATTGTGGTGTCCTTTCCTCCTGAAGGCTTCCCTGAGTCCTGCTTTAAATGAGGGTGTCTTCTCTGATTGATGTTTGGAAGTGACTATTTTATAAAACTGGCCCAGCCTAAACCAGTCAGGTGTCACACACATAGAGGGGAAAGTTTTGCTTTCCCAGGTAGCAGAGTCAGGCCTAGGATCTGGTCCCTGGGATCTGCTCTCCCTCCAGTAAGGACAATGTGACTTAAGCCCACTGTGACAACAGAACCAATGGCTGAAGTAAGACGAGTATCTACTGAAGGCTAGGTGTGACCCCTGGCATGCAGTAAGCATTTAATACAAGATAGCTCCTTAACCAGCAGTGCTGAGCCATAGGATTTTGCCCCTGGCTCCAGCCTGGTCCATCTTTTCATCTGCTAGTCATGCTGATAAGATTTCGGACAACACAGAGCTTTAAGGGTGAGCAAATCTGTGGGATGATGGAACCGGGATTCAAAAGTTGTTTGCACCTGGATTATTGAGCTAAAATCCAACAGATGGGATTTGACAGGAATGTATGTAAAGTCCCACATGTAGCTTTACATGTGGGATGTCAGTGACTCAAGTATAGAATTGAGATGACCTACTTGTAGCAATTCTTTCTTTCACTTAGTCTGCCTGGGGTTAGTGGTCCAGAAGGTTGTACAACCCAGCAAACAGGAGCTTCAAGAGTTTGTGGGGCAGGAAGCAAAATCCTGACCTCAAGTGGAGGGCCTGGGAGAGTTTTCCACTGAGTCCTGAAGACAAGGGGAAATTAACGCGTGTGTGTGTGTGTGTGTGTGTGTGTGTGTGTGTGTGTAAGTGAATGGACTGTTCTAGGCAGAGACCATGGCATTTTAAAGGATCAGAAAGGGCTGCACATACAAGGACCTTAGAGAAGTTTCGAACGGCCTAAACAGAAGTAAGCTGGATGGGGTGGGGAACGCAGCTGGAGGGAGAGCAGATCCCAGGGACCAGCCCATTCACATTAGCTTAGTTCATCCTTGTCATGGCCCATGTGGGAGGAACTCTTGCTGGATACCCTCATTTCTTGCATGAGAAGATCAAGGCCCAGATATATTAGGTAACTTGCTCAAGAGCTGGGAAGGCTGAGCTGGGATTGGATCTCAATCTTGCTGACTCTAGAGTCAAGTTTCCAACCACCACTTGTCTGCTTTGGGAAATTTGGATTTTAGTCTCAAGATCCATTTAGGGATCTTGAGGCAAGAGGTGGTGACTTGTTCTGAGTTTCATCTTAGAAAAGTGTGGGGCATTAGATGACATGAGCTCAATATAAAACAGCTGAAAACTTAAAGCAGTTTTGGCCTCAAAGAAAGAGGCTGAGTGGCTTGATCAGTTAACTAAAGGTAGATGGGCATGGTGGTGTCTCCTCAGACAGGGGACTCCTCAGGGGTACATGCTGCTGCCTCCAGTTCTCTGAAAATTGGCCAGATTCTCTACTGCTTCTTTGACAGAATAAAAATCAGAGGCTGCAAGTTACAGCAAGGGAGATTTGGACTGATGTTGCTAAAAGATCAGAGCTTGCAAGGTGGGCCTAGGTCGGCTTTGTGGGAGCTCTTTGGAAGTGTTCCCCACTTCTGAGATTTGGCATTTCTGGTTTTACTTGGGCATGTGGCCTGGTGAATAACTTCTAATTTTGATCTTAATAGTGGCCTGATTTCTTTCCAGCTGCTCAATTTCAGGGGGCTTGGCTGGGGCCAGAGGGGCTAAGAGGGTATCTCTGTGGCTGCAGTGACTTGGAGAAGTCGGTGGAGAAGATCCAGAGGGATGTGTCCCACAATCACCGGCTGGTACCCGGCCCTGAGCTGGAGGAGAAGGCGCTTGTGCTGAAGCAGCTTGGGGAGACACTCACAGAGCTGAAGGGTGAGTCTGTGCCAGGCGGTGTGGCCCGTGCTCCCACCACTACGCTGTCCTCCCGGTCCTCAGTGCTCTCTCCCTCCCAGCTCACTCCTTCCTGTCCCCTCAGCTCACTTCCCCGGCCTGCAGAGCAAGATGCGGGTGGTGCTGCGCGTGGAGGTGGAGGCAGTGAAGTTCTTGAAGGAGGAGCCACAGCGCCTGGATGGGCTCCTCAAGCGCTGCCGTGGGGTCACAGACACGCTGGCCCAGATCCGCAGGTCACTCTCTCCCTGACCTGATTGCCCACAGGGTCACACACTGGGCCTAGATCCATAGGAATGCCCAGCCCTATCCTGACTCCCCCAGAGTTTCCCAGAGTGCTGACTGCATGTGCACTTTGCCTCTGACCTGTGAACCCTCCCGCGCTGCAGCCTCAGTTTTCCCTGATGCCCTGTGCAGTCACTCCTCCCCAGATCCTCCCATCTCTCCTGAAAATCTCAGAGCCCTCCTTGCGCCCCACCTCCCTTAGGCACATTCCCTGGGGCCACCCCCACCCTGCCTCACAGCTGCTCCTAACTCTCCTAACCCAGGCAAGTGGATGAGGGTGTGTGGCCACCCCCCAACAACCTCCTCAGTCAGTCCCCCAAGAAGGTGACAGCTGAGACTGACTTCAACAAGGGGCTGGACTTTGAGATGCCACCCCCCAGTCCTCCACTGAACCTCCATGAGCTGAGCGGGCCGGCCGAGGGAGCCCCTCTCACCCCCAAGGGCAGCAACCCCACCAAAGGCCTGGATACTTCTGGCAAAAGAAGTGTGGACAAGGCTGTGTCTGTTGAGGTGCGGAGGCCTGGGCGGGTGAGGGGCACAAGCTGCATCTGCGAGTGCTTGCACCATCCTGGAGTAGGAAGCTCTAAGCAAGTGGGTCCTTTGTCTCGGGGGAGGAGAGTAAGTCCTCTAATGGAAATCTGAGAAGCATAATGAGGGTAACATTCATCCTTCTAGACAGAAAGTATATTATAAAACTATAATCATCAAAGCAATATGGTGTTAGCCTAAGAATAGGCTGTGTGGTCAATGGAATAGAATAGAATGTCCAAAAACATGATATCATATGACAAGGTAGTAACAGGATGTAATATAATGAAGCCACCTTTGTGACCCACACGGATGGCATGTAATTCTCAAGGAGAAGGGTGAGGTCTCCTGGGGGCTGGATCAATGGAAGGCTTCCTTTCTATCCCTTGCATGTGTGGATTGAGAAGGGACTGAGCCCTGGAGGTCCTGGGACAGGGCAGCCGTTCCTGGAGGGTCTAGCATTGGACTGACACTGACCCTCCACCCCAAGGCTGCAGAGCGGGACTGGGAAGAGAAGCGGGCAGCCCTGACCCAGTACAGCGCCAAGGACATCAATCGGCTGCTGGAGGAGACGCAGGCAGAGCTACTCAAGGCCATCCCGGACCTGGACTGTGCCAGCAAGGCCCACCCGGGCCCAGCCCCCACCCCGGACCACAAGCCCCCCAAGGCACCCCATGGCCAGAAGACAGCCCCACGAACAGAGCCCAGCGGGAGGAGGGGCTCAGGTATGGAGGTGGAGGGGCTGGTGAGGAGCCCAGAGTTGGGGAACCCAATTTTCAGGGCTCTCGGTTGACAGAGGTGGTACTGGGGAGTGAGCACTACGGTGCTTGGGCTGCCAGAGAAGGGGGTGCTGGCCATCAGTGGCCAGGCCTCAGATCACTGAAGGGAGAGGGAAACCCAGAGGGCAGGGTAAGCTGGACTCCATTTTGGCCCTTCCCACTGCCCCGAGGGCTGCTGAGAGGCAGGGAGGACCCTGCATGCAGGCAGAATGATCCTCCTGCCCCGCTTGGCTGAGCTGAGCACCTGCTGTGAGCCAGGCTGGGCTGAGAGTAGGGTGCAGAGGTAGATACTCTCAGGGATCCTGTGCTCCCCGACTCTGAGAAATGGGGGAGAGGCAGAAATTTGAAGGGGAAATGGCAGTCAGTCATCCTTCCTTCATTCCTGCAATGCATATTATTATTATTTTTTTTAATTGTTTTTAGTTGTAGTTGGACACAGTACCTTTATTTTATTTATTTATTTATTTTTATGTGGTGCTGAGGATTGAACCTAGGGCCTCACATGTGCTAGGCGAGCGCTCTACTGCTGAGCCACAACTCCAGCCCCGTTGCAGCGCATATTATTAAGCACCTCCTGTGTGCTGGGTGCTGGGGAGATGGAAATCAGTGGGTGCTTAATTTCTAGAAGTTCAGAATTTATCAGGGGAATAATACTAACATTCATGTTTATCAGGCAGTTACTATGTAGTAAGAACTGTTCCAGCTGCTTTCTGTGTTTGACATTTTTATAATTTCACAACAGTCCTAGGGGGCAGATGTAGTAACTATTCCCACTTTACTGACGAGGACCCTAAAACTCAAAATGGTTAAGTAATTGGCCCTAGGCCTTACCCAGCATGTAAACCTGCAGGGGCTAAGTGCAGCCAGTGGAGGGGACCCGTGCAGAGCCTGAGCTGTGCAGACCTAGAGGAGGCCCTGGGCGGCCAGGGCAGCTTCCCAGAGGAGGGGAGTTTTTACTGTCTGAAAATGATTAGTCACTTCCTGGCCAGTGAGAGGCCATGCCAGGGAGAGGGGAGCAGCATGTACCCGTGCCAGCAGATGCGCTCTTGCTGTTGCTGTTGCCTGACGGGGTCCACCCAGGGTCCACCCAGGGCCCACACCGGGAGTAACAAGCAGAGCAGAGAATGAAAGATTGGCAGGTGCAGAGGGTGCTGGACTAAGGAGCTTGGACTAGTTTGGGGTAATGGGAGCCTCTGAAGATCAGAGGCAGGAGAGTGTCATGATTTGAGTGACCTTCCGACATGTTGTCCTGGTAACAGGCTGGAGGAAGAATTGGGGGGAAGGGAGAAAACTGGTGAGTGGGGCCAGGCTGGGGGTTGAGGGGCTTGTGCTTAGAACCTGTGGCAAGGACTGGGGAGAAGGAGACTAGAGTGGTGCTGCTTCTTTGGTACTGGGGATTGAACCATGGCACTTCACCAATGAGCTACATTCCCAGTGCTTTTAATTTTTTATCTTGAGACAGGTCTTGCTAAATTGCTGAGGCTGACCTTGAACTTGAGATCTTCCTGCCTCAGCCTCCCGAGGCGCTGGGATTATAGGCACGTGCCACTGTGCCTGACTAGAGTAATGCTTCTTAAACTTGAATGTGACTGTCCTTCTTGCTTAACCCAGGATTCTAAGCAGCTCAGGGCCGGGTCCTGAACTGTGGTTCCAACAAGCTCCCAGGTGCTGCCAATGCTGCTGGCCCAGGACATACTTTAAGTAGCAAGGGGTCAGAGTGCTGTTAGAGGAAGAATGACAGGGCTTGGGGCTGGATGGCATGGGGGAGTAAACAGAGGAGGGGCCCTGTGTCCTTCCTCCCCGCCCCCTAGTTTTCCTCTCTCCTCCTGGAGAAGGAAGCAAGGTTATCCAACACTTGTGGTCAGATGCAGTGTGCTGACCACAGGGCTGCAGCCCTGACCCCAGCCCATTGGCTGCCTGCAGATGAGCTGACAGTGCCCCGATACCGTACGGAGAAGCCCTCCAAGTCACCCCCGCCACCCCCTCCCCGCCGGAGCTTCCCTTCCTCCCATGGCCTGACCACCACACGCACTGGAGAGGTGGTGGTCACCAGCAAGAAAGATTCAGCCTTCATCAAGGTACCACTTCCCCTTGGGCAGAAGCCCAGAGACTGAATTAGGGGGAAGCCTGAGATGACCTCTGGGCACCCTCTGGAGTGGGAGGGAGCCCTTTCTCAGAGGCAGTGGGTGGGAAGACCACTGGACAGTGGGACTCTGGACTTCTAGTGGGATCCTGGTTACGAGTATTTGCCCTAATTCCACCCAGGCCTCTGCCTGTGGTGGGGCTTCCTGGCAGGAGACAAAGGAAGTTACAGATTCGGAGCCAGGAGAGGTGGGAGGTGATCTAGAACCAGTGACACCTGGGAGGTGAGCTGGTGCTGGAGGGGACAGACTCTGGTCTTAATGGGGCCCTGGGCCTTTCAGAAGGCCGAGTCTGAGGAGCTGGAGGTGCAGAAGCCCCAAGTGAAGCTGCGGCGGGCTGTGTCTGAGGTGGCCCGCCCTGCCTCCACGCCACCCATCATGGCCTCTGCCATCAAGGATGAGGACGATGAGGACCGCATCATCGCTGAGCTGGAGGTGGGTCAGGGGCATGTGTGGCCTCTGAGGCCTCTTCCAGTCCTGGTCCCCTGCCAGGTTGTCCCTAGGGTGAGGTGTCAGGACCAGGGCGAGCCCCAGGACCCCATCCTTCTTGCCTCCCGCTTCTTCACCACTATAAAATGGGGAGTCTATTAAAGCCCCTTCCTGCAGGTTTGAGTTTTTATTGTGGTTTCTGAGACCCACTCAATTACTCCCCAAACCCACCATACTCTGAAGGCCCTGTGCCGGCATATTCTGAGTTCCCTCAGTGCTGAGACCCCCATCCCAAGTGTCCCAAGGACCGTAAGCCCTGAGGCTCTCCTGGTGCTGGAAGCCACCCATACTCAAGGGTCCTCAGCCCTTCACCCCATCCCTCCCACCCCAGTGCCTGGAACCCTGGACCACCAGGGGTCCCTGGAAGAGGAGACACGACGGAGGGCAGAGCCGGCCAGGGGCCACGGTGAGGGGCCAAGGGATGAGGCTGGCTGGGGACTCATGCCACCCCAGGCCATCCTCCCCATGGGCGCCTGCATCACTGGCCAGCAGCACCCCCATCCTTCCTGATGCCCCCTCCTCCAAACCTGCCCCCACCTTCTGCTCCTCAGGTGTTTGAGAGAAGCTCAGTGTCTTCCCTACCCCCCACGCCCCGTCGCCAGCCGATCCCCACCTTGCTGTCCCCCCAGGACCTGGGGCCCCCCGGGGGCACAGCCCTGGGCCCCACATGGAAGGTAACGGGCTGCCCCACCTCTCACAGCTCTCTCTGCCTGTGCCTCCACAGCCCCCCACCTCTCACGCTAACCTGCTAAAACGCGCACGTCCCTGCCACTGCCCAGCTTCTCACACCTCACCTGCCCCGCCCTCACAAGGACCGCACAGAACTCAGCCTTTCCTCTGGCCTCCTGGGTGGGATTTCCCTGGAGACCCCAGCAGCCTGGGTATCTGGTGGCCCCCCGAGTCTGCGTTCCCTCACAGGCTGCGTCCCGAGGCTGGTGCTGGCAGCCCGGGCATTTTGTTCCAGTTTGCGGCCTGACTTTTGGTGTGGCCCAAAGCCCAGGTGTTGCCTTAGGCTGAGATTGGAGTTTGGATCTTCTCACAAGATGACTTAAGGGTCCAGCTCAAAATCTGACTGTCCTGAGCCTTTGCCTAGATGCCTCCCCTATGCCCTGCTCTGCCGCTTGTGCCGGGGAGAAGCTGCTTTTCCCACTAGAATCTGTGCCTTGCACTGGGACCAAGACACTCCCGGGGGTTGGCTCACCTACAGCCTCCCCTGACTCAGGTCCTATCTTGCCCCCTGGTCAAGAAGCTTAGAATGTAAGAAACCTATGCCTTTCCTTGGCTGCTGGTTCTGTCTTTCAGCACTGAGAAGTTCTTCCTTCTCTCTAATTTCAGTCCTTGCTGCTGTGCTGCTGCACTGATTTCCCCTTTATTCTTTCTTGGGACTTTGAGGTGGATCTGCTGTCTGCATTCCTTGGTCTGCCTGGGGAGGCGGGTGGGAGAGGGTCTGGGGATCCCTCTGCCCGGCCACACTGGGGCCAGTGGGCCTCTGTTCTGGGGAGGGCCAGCCCTTCTGTGCACACACTCTCACCTCCCGTTCTTGGTTCTTCGTGGATTGTAGTGGGCTCCGAGATGATTGCCCCTGACTTCTGGGTTGGCTGAGGTCTAATGGCACTGTGGTCTGGCAGTGGGAGCAGACAGGCTGTCTGCTGGGCAGGGGATGGCTTGGATCAGTCTGAGGGGCCATCAGGGGATGAGCAGCATGGAAGGGGTGCCTCTGGGGCTGGCTGTGCCCCTGGCACCAGCTCCTGTTCCTTTCTGGCTTTGGAGACCTGTTTTGAGGGGTCCAGCGGGCAGGGCCACTTCCCTGGCCGCCTAGGCCTGGCTGACCCTCTGCGTCCTGAGGTGCCGTCGGGCAATGGAGCTGGGCGAGCATGGGTCACCTGTTTGCCTTCCCAGGCTGCACCCCACTCCCAGGTAAGCAGGTGGCAGGGCTGGATGGTTGCCTTGGGAGGGGGTGGTTGGGGTCTCTGCTGCCCCCACACATCTGCACACAGCTGCTTTTTCTTTTTGGTACCAGGGATTGAACTCAGGAGCACTTAACCACTAAGCCACATCCCCAACCGTTTTTTATACTTTATTTAGAGACAGAGTCTCACTAAATTGCTTAAGGCCTTGCTAGGTTGCGGAGGCTGGCTTTGAACTTGCCATCCTCCTGCCTCAGCCTCCAGAGCCACTGGGTCTACAGGCATGGAGCCACCGAGTCTGGCTCCCCATGGCTTTTTAGTGGAAAGAGCACTAGACTGGAGTGAGACCATCTAGGTTCAAATCCCGGCTCTGCTATTAACCAGCTGTGGGTCAGTGACAGTGGGGATCATACACTGTTCCTTGCCCACAGTTTCTCATCTGTACCGAGGGGACTGAGAGTGGCAGTCCATTTCATAGGTTACAGTAAGCATTAAAGATGGGGACATATGACAGCATCTGGCACAGACTGGTGCTCAGAATTAAACCAGGATTTGCTCAGGTTGGAGGGTGACTGGGGCCTCTCTGCATCCCTGCTGGACACTCACACAGAAGCAGATGCGAGAGGGAGCTTGTCCTGCGTGTGTGTGTGTGTGTGTGTGTGTGTCTGTGTGTGTGGCAGAGGACCCGGCCAGCCCCTCCCCCTGGAAATCCTTGGAGAGCACTCACAAAGTCGGGGGTGGGGGGTGGGGCAATAACCAGAAGCATCTGGCTAGAGATGAGGATCATGGCCCCACCCTCAGAGGCCAAGGGACATCTGCTCTCTGCCTGAGCAGGTCTGAAGGTCTCTGTCGGTCAGTTAAGTTTGTATTCTAGAGCGCTCACAACGTGCCAGGCTCTGTGCTAAGGAGCACCTGTCCACATGAACTCTCTGTCTTTCCTCCCCTCTGTTATTGTTTTCCCATTGCATGGTGGGTAGACTCTCTGAGGCTGGCTCCCAGGCTTGGCATGGGTAGTAAGACACGAACATGTACCTGTGCCTCTGTGTAAGCGGGCATCTTTACCAGAAGGTAGCAAACCATCATGTGGGGTGTAGGGCTTTGCCTCTCTCAGTCAGGAACACCCCCCCACCCTGGCCTCAGTTTCCCCATCTGTGAGAGGAAGGGGCCAAACTCACCTGTGTCTAACCCCCATCCGAGCTCGGGGTTTGCTTTGCCAGGATCACATTCTTCCTCACGTTCCTTCTCCCCGCCAGGCTGCCCCGGGTCTCAGGGCCTTCTGCATCCCACGGATCATCTTGACAGAGTGCACCCCCAACCCTCCCTCCCCGCCAGAGGCCAGGCTGGAGGAACCAGGTCCCGGGACAGCCCCCACTCCAAGACCGAGGACCCTGGCTGGCAATGGGAGGACCTGGGACGGCCCGCTCAGAGCAGAGACTGCCTGGCCCAAGGGCAGCTCGATGCCCAAGAAGGAAGGGACAGCTTGGAAGAGCCCGAGCATGGGAAGCCTTAGCCCAGAGGATGGAAGAGCCAGAGCCCCCTGTCCTTGGGGACCAACCCCAAATGAGACTCAGGAGCCCTCAGCTGCCGAGGCCCACTCGGAGGAGACTTCCAAGGACTCTGGACGTGCCGCTCAAACCTGCAGTGGGGGGCAGGCTGCAGCTGGCCAAGGCTGCAGAGTGCCATGTGTCGCTCCCCAGCGGACGGACAGCCTGGAAGAGACACTCCGGGAACTAGAAGCCACCCTGAGCGAGATGGGCACAGCCCCTGCCGTGGGACCCCCTGGCAGCCCCTCACCCCAGCCTCGCAGCCCCCAGGTGGCTGCCACCCCCACCCACCCCTGCTGCCTTCCCACTCTAGTCTCTGGGCCTGCGGAGGGCAGGGAGTGGGGGCCGCGAGAGCCAGCCCCTCCTCCCGCTCTCCTTTTCTCAGCTCACCACCCTCTTGGGAGCCTGCCACCAGGCGGGGGCTCTCAGGCTGAGCCTGGGGAGGCTGGGAAGCCGGCCCACCCAGGACTCGGCCCTCCCAGCCTTGGCAAGATCCAGAGGCCCCTCCCTCTCTGCTCTGTATCTGTAAACCAAGAAATAAAGTTCTCTCCCCCTTTTCCATTCCAGGCTTCCCCCACTCCTGTCTCAGACTCAGATCTCTGTCTCTGTCATTTCTCTGTCCGTGCCTCTGTTCTCTACCCGGAACCTCCTGGGTAGGCCTGGTAGCTAAAGAGCTTAGGGAGCCAGACTTGCCCATCTCTGGAGAGACTTCAGCAGGAAGGTGTGGGCTGGGACCATCAGTCCTGCTCTGTCTGTCACTAGAGAACCCGACCCTAACCCCCAAACTCCAGGCCCAGGGTGGTGCCCCTTTTGCTTGGGAGTGGGTGTGGTGCTGGGGACTTGCACTTTAGAAGTGACCTCCCCAAGAGGGCGCAGCTGCCACTGGGCCACCAACCACCCAGAGTTCTCATTCAGGAACTGTTGGGATCCAGGCTGGGGTTCTGTCCCTCTCCGGCAGGGAGGCCTTAGACCTAGGCTCAGAAAGTAGTCCGAGTTCTGGCCTGGGATGTAGAGCCAGGGAGAGGTCTCCAGGTTCCCAAGGGCCTGTGTGAGGAGACCCCGCCTAGTGCTTAGGGTTCCACTAGGACCCTCCAACCCCAACCCTATTTCTCTTTCTGCAGAGTGGTGGTGGCAGCGTGCCTCCCATGAAGGTGGTGACTCCAGGAGCCTCTCGGCTGAAGGCGACCCAGGGCCAAGCAAGCAGCCCTGACAAAGGAAAGCACGGCAAGCAGAGGGCTGAGTACATGAGGATCCAGGCCCAGCAGCAGGTGAGGGCAGGGTGGCGGGCGCCCCCTCCAGGGCCCCTGGGTTTGGGCACGGAGCATCCGCTATGTGCCGCTATTCCCATGACCAGTGAGGTCGTCCCTGCTAGCACTACCCCTCCTGCACTCAGTCCCAGTGCTCTGGATCTGGATCCCCTCCCCTTTAGGAGTCCCCTCAGGGACAGAGAAGACCTGCTCCCCATCTGCATATTGTCCTTTGTCCCTGGTAAGGCCCAGCCCTCTTGGGGGCCACTGCACCTCCTGCCCTTCTCTGCTCATCTTCAGCCTCCTCCTCCCTGTGCTCAGCTCCCCGATGCTCATCCCAGCCTTCCTGTTAACTCTCAGGCCACCCTCAGCTGAGGGACAAGCCAGTCTTGCACCTGCCATTCAGCCTTGGGTCCCGGTCTGTTGGTTCACTGCTGATCTGTATAAGGTGGGGGATGGGGGAGAAGGGGAGGAGGTTGGGCCCCATTAGATGGGGTGTGACAGGAGTTGCAGGGCCTCTGCAGCCTCTGGATTTCTCGTCAGGCTTGGAGTTAGCAGCTAGCGTTAGCAGCCTGGCCCTCTGGTGTCTGCAGCCCTGCAGCTTCCGTGAGGCCCAGTCAGTTCGCTAATTCCTGGGCAGCTCCTGTAGGCCAGGCCCATTCTGGATGACAGGGTGGGCCTTGCTCTGTCTAGATGCTGACTTCCAGAAAGTTCTAGGCTCAAAAGCAGGAGGTTAGAGATGGGTGAGTCCAGCCGCCTTTTTTACAGAAGAGGGGAGAGCTCAGAGCAGGAAAGGGAGTTCCCGAAGATGCACAGCAATGGCATCAGAGCCAGGACTGGACCCAGATTTCCCAAAGTCCTTCCCACACATGGAACTGAGATAGCCCTGGCACCTAGCCCTCCCCCAGTCTCTCCTTATCTTCTTCCTCTTGGTCCCCAGACACACCTTCTAAGGCCCACTCCCAGCTCTTTCTCCTGCCATCACCAAAGATGGGTGCCCCATCTGTCCAGAATGGTCCCTCCTTTGTGCCAAGAGGAGTAGCTGATGTTAATGGCACACTCACTTGTGTCGGTCACGTCCATGGTCTCCTTTCACACCTGCCGCTCTGAGGAAGGGCCTTGTTATGCCCACTGGACAGGTGGAGAGACCGAGGCTGGGGAGCAGGATGCAAACCCACATTATCTGACAGGCCTCCCCCCCACACACGTGTGCTTTAGCCTCTTCAGCAGCAGCCCCCTGCTGTCACACCCACTGTCCCCTGCTCCTGACTCCCGCTGTCCCCTGCTCCTGACTCCCCAGAGCCCAGCCCTCTGCCTGTTGCTCTGCGTTCCGGGGACTCTGGGCCAGCTGCACACCCTACTCCCCACCCTCGCTGGCTCCTCAGCCCCTCAGGCCTTCCTGCCTCAGGGCTTGATAAGGTCTCCAGCAACCAGCAAGCTCTCTCCTCCCTCTTCTCTCACCTCTCTTTGGGTGTGGCCTTGTAGACCTGCACGCTCACCCGTAGGGCTGGGTAAACCATTCCTTGGCATCCGCCCTCTTCCTCTGTCTTCACAGGAACCTGGCTCTTTTATGGACCTTTCTCCTCTGCCCGCCCTACACTTTTGTCACCTCTGACCTATTTTCTAAGACCTGCAGGGACTTTGTAAAATGCAGATTTAATGATCTCTCTCTCACACACACCAGTTCAAACCTGTGTCTTCTGGCCCAAACAGAATCCCCTGCAGTGTGGCCCAGCCAGGGCTCTTCATGACAGCTCTGTCCTCTGGGCCATTACTCCCCTTACCCTTGTTAACACCCTTGATGTGCTCCGGCTGCCTAGACCACTAGGGCCGGCACATGGTCCCCACCGCCCAGTCTGTGGCCTTGACCCAAACCCTCTTCTATACAGTGGGAAGGAAAACAGGCAACAGGGCCGTCCCCCTGGGTTGGAGTGTGCACTTGTCAGGGATGACACTGAGCCTTGGAGCTCGCCTGCCTTGGGACGATGAGCTGGAGGGAGTAGTAGTGCCGAGAACAGAGGCAAGGAAATGGGGTGGGGGGTCTCCAAGAGGGCGGTGCATTGGAACAGCGCTTTACTGCAGAGAAGCCCCAGGAAATGACTGGGAAAGTGCCCATGAGTGCTGGGCTCAGGATCCAAGAGGAGATGGGATCTGGATTCCCAGGGGTGCAAGGATCAAGAAGTGGTGCCGACCTGAAGCCATGAACACTCCCTCTTCTATTAGGACTATAGAATCCCCTGAAGACCACCTATTCTCTCTTCTCCAGTGGCTCAAGTCAAGAGACCTTGTTGGACCGTCCCCCTAGAGACTCCAGGGAATGACAGGATGTTGAGGCCTCCAGGAGGAGCTGGCAAGAGCAGAACCTAGGACCTCCCAGAGGGGAAGAGCAGGGGGCCTCTCTGGCTCTTGCTGCTCCCTGTGTGGCCCTGGAATGACAGAGACAAGACAGACCCTGGCTCAGGATGATCTGCTTCTGTAGGAAATTCTGCCTTGGAGCTGAGGGCTGGGCAGTGTGCTAGAATCAGACCAGGCAGGGGGGCAGGCCTCTGCCCAGAGAGTTCCAAGCCTCCCCAGTGGAAAGCCGGACACCTATGAGGTTTCTGCTTTGCCACAAAAGTGACAAAGTTCTGCTTCTCTGGACAAAATCAGGACCCACAGGGGAAGACTAGCTGGTGAAATGGAAGGATAGACCCCTTCAGAGACAGCAGCTGTGACACTGGAGAACTCTGAGCAACACAGGATGGCACAGTCGGACCTGCTACCTCTGCTTCAGTACAACAGTTCAGTTGGGGCTGAAGCCAGATGGCCCTCAAGGAAGTCACAAAACAAATGCTTATAGAGCCACTGCAAGTCGTCTCCGTGAAGAGGAGCCCAGTTAACCAGTGAACGCAACATGTCTAAAGGCCTTGCACTGGCTGTGGCGGGGGTGGGGTGGGGTAGTGGGGAGAAGGGCACAGTGCTTGGGTGAGGACAGGTCACCCGGGAGGCGGCACGCTCCCGGAAGGCGGTGTGCCAAAGACCAAAGCTTGCAAAGACCGAGGCCCTTGAAAATGCTGAAGGGAAGGAACAGAAAGCACTTTTAACTAGAAAGACCAGAGTTCAGAACAAAGCCAACAGCCAGGAGGGGACCAGCACCTTGCTTGGGGACATGAGGAGATGTGAAGAGACTCCAGGGAGGGAGTGGAGAAGCTCTCTCCCCTCCCTGCTTTGCAAGAAAGAAATTTAATGGGGAAGGCTAGAGCAGGGGCGGGGGCCGAGCCCAAGGTAAGTGATAGATGGTAAGAGAGCTCCTGGTCGCCTTTAGATGAGTGTCTTTGAGACCAGATTCTGGAGCCTGGTGAGGGCCAGCTTGTCTCATGGCAGTGGGCAAAGGATGCACGAATCCAGCGACCCTGTGGCTGCTGCCCTGGAACCTTTGAGGAATGGAAGAGCAACCACAGTGAAGAGGAGGAGGGCCAGAAAACCCACACTGTAGCCTCAGCTTTCATAAAGAGGAAATGCAGGCTGCAAACTGCAGTGTAATAAAGCCCGGATGAATTGCTGGCCAGGGCCGTTTCTGTGCTCGTGGAAGAACAAATGGTGATCACCAGCCACAGGGTGGTTCCCTGGGAGCCAGGAAGACCAGGCCTCCTGTGTCCCTGCTGCCTGCAGGAGGCAGGACTTGCTTGAGACCTGCAAGGCTCCTGGGAGAGCCTACCCGACAGCTGGGGACAACATAGGTCCTTGGGAAATGGAGTGACCATGCCCAGATATAAATTCAGGAAGGTCTCCGGTGATAAGCCACAGGACTTTGTCTTCAGTCTTATCTTTTCAGTCACGTTCTTAAAATATCAAAGCTGTTAGTAGCTAAGTGAGTCCAGAAGTTGCGGGGAGAAAGCCTGGTCGGTGTGGTCCTCACAGAGGATTCCAAAATTAAATACCCGGGCACCTGCTTAAAATGCACATTCCCAAACCCACATCAGAAACATTCTGGAGGGGGACCCAGGAATCTGCATTTGTGACACATGTCCTAGAGATAATGCAGATGGTTCTTGAACCACCCTATGGAGACCACAATTTCGGAGGACAAGCCTCCAGGACCAGTAGAGATGCAGTCTCTGGGAGGTGGGAAGAGGGTGAGCAGCTGGTTCTGCCCGTCAGTGCTGGCCAGTGAAAGCAGGACACTTCTTGACCGAGTGGCCTCTCCACTTGCGGGGGGGGCGGGGTGTCTTCCAGTGCTGAGAGGGAGGCTGGGTGCTGGGTGCTGGGTGCCTTCTTTCCCAGAGTCCCAGGCAGGAGTTCTTTGGGGAAGTGTTCCCCAAGAGAACAAGCTCATTCCTGTTTCCACCAGGATCCTTCTGCTTGGTACCTATCACCTGCTGAGGTGCAAGAGGGTCCCTGAATGCTGGGCTGGGCTGCTGGCCCCCTCTGCCTCCCACTCTGGAGGGCTTGCACCCCTGTCGGAGCTAACGGTTCACTTCTTCTCCCTCCCCTCCCCACCCCTCTCCTACCCTCTTATCCCCTCGCCTACCCCGGGCTCTCTTGTGCTCCTCTGGTGTCTCTCTCCTGCCTTCTCTCTTTCCTATCAGTAACCACGACGGACCCCACTCTGGTTTCTGGGCCCTTTGTTCCAACCCCTGCCCCTCCCCCCACCTTTCTGCCCCTGCAGAGCCCTCCCCCTGCCACTCAATTCAGGCAACTGCCGTCTCCAGATGCCCCTCTGGTTTCTTGCTTTTGCAGTTCATTTTCTCTTGGATTTGTGGAGGTTTTCCATTTTTTTTTTTCAAAACTTCAGCTGGGGGCCAGCATGAAGGCTCTCCTTTGCTCTCTCTGACCCCTGACCCCTGTTTTTGTTCCAGGCCACTAAACCATCTAAAGAGATGAGCGGGTCGAATGAGACCTCAAGCCCAGTCTCAGAAAAGCCCTCGGCTTCCAGAACCTCCATCCCTGTATTGACTTCCTTTGGGGCAAGGAATTCTTCCATCTCCTTCTAGAAGCCCCTCACGCCTCCACCCCAGCCTGTCTTCTCCCTCGCTCCCGTCATCTCTCCCTACTCTGCTTTCCTCCATCCCCCCACCCTGTTCTCCAGACCTGGGAAGGGTTGTCAGGGTGTGGCCCTCCTCAGCTCCCCGTCCTCCTCCCTCAATTGGTGTTTTTGGTTTTTTAAATGATTCACTTTTAATTATCTTTTTTTAAAAAACAAAACATTCAATTAAAAACCAAACACACCACCTTCCTTTGACTTCCTGTTCCCAGATGGCCTTCTCCCGGCCCACTTCCTGTCATCTTCTCTCCCTCTTCTCTTTCGCCACTCGTCCTCCCGAGTCCATCCTGAGTTCCTGCTCCCTGCCTCCTTCCCCACCTTCCCCCCAACTTCCCAAGAACACTCCAAACAAACTCTGAGCCACGGAGACTTGGAGCGGCGAGAGGTCCCTCTCCCCTTCCTCCGAACCTTCCTGGAGGAACCTGTGGACATTGGACCAACCCCGGCATCAGGCTGGAAGATGGGACGAGGGAGGTCCTGGCCCTGGAGATGCCCCACTCCCTGTCCAGCCTCCATGAGACTGAACACTGCTGCTACTCTGCTCCCTTCCTCTCGCCCCCAATGGGCCTGGAGGCAAGACGGACAGGACCAGCCAGAGAGGAGGCCCAAGTCTGAGGCAGGTTGTGAGGCCAGGCAGCCAAGGCCACATAGCATCCTGCTTGGGTAGGGGCTGGCCTGTGCTAATGGAGGAAGGAAGCCCTCAGACTGCTGGTGTGGAGGCTGGGTGGAGGGAGGCCTGCCACTGGGGCCCTACCTTGGGAGAGGGCAGCCCTGGGAGGGGCATTTGGTACTTTTAGTTTCCTAATTTAGCACTTTAAATGCCATTAACTTATTTAATGGGGGTGGGGAGGGCAAGATTAAAGGGCCTGGAAAATTAAGTCTGAAGGCCTGGAGGGTGGGAAGGGTCTGGTTGTGAGGGAAATGGGGAGAATAGACAAGGGATTGATTGGTGGGGGGCAGTGAGGACAGCTCTGACCCCACAGGTGGGGTGATCTGCCCTTCCACCATCCTCATTGTGATTTGAGGGTTTTCAGGGAGAGGATGAGATGTGCTTTCTCCATGGGGATCTGGTGACCACTGGTGAGATGTTTGAGGGTCCCCAAGTCCTGAGCAGCCAGCCAGTGTCCCGGCCTGTGACAGCCCTGACCCGCAGAGGCCTTGGGCAGTGAAGACTGGCTTTTGGTCAGGCCCTGGAGACTGGAGGAGAGGCTGATGATTTGGGTTCTCAGTCCTGGCCCCCCAGGGGGCACAGAAAAGGGCTGGCAGGGAGACTGGGGAGGGTAGGGAGGAGGGAGGCAGCTCCTGGGGCACAGGGTTCGGATCTGGAGCACAAAGTGCAGTAAGCACAGGGAGGGGGCGTTGGGATTCGTCCCCAGTAAGCACAGAAAGAAGGAGCCACTGAAGGACACAGACCCCAAGACCCTGGGGCCTGGCAGGGCAAGGTCAGCGCTGGGGGGGGGTGCCGGGGGGAGCTTCTGAGGGAGGGGAACTGGGTTGTGTTTCTTCATTGTTTTTGTTTTTGTTGGTTCATCCTTGTTTTTTAGCTTTGGATCATTTTTGTACCAAGGCAAGCAAGCCTTTTTGAAAAATAACAAAGAAGAGGAAAAAAAAAAATATCCCTCCTGGAAAAAAAAAAAAAAAAAAAAACCTAGAAAATAGGGGAAAAAAAGGACCTCATAAATGATGCAATTACTTTTAATTGCAGGCAACTCTTTACATTTAAGTGAAGTGTCTTAACATTTTATATTGTTTTAAAAATATATTTACATATTATATATATATATATAATATACGTAATATAAATATATATAAATATTTAAAAAAAGAAAAAAAAAGAAAACCACGGCCCTCTCTCCCTGGCCGCTGTTTGGTGGGGGAGGGGGGTGGGGTGGGCACATTGGCCTGGCTTCTGTGGTCCAGTGACGCGGTTGGGTTTGATTTGGCTGTACAGAGACCCCCTGACTTGGGAGGGGAGGGGGGAGTGGTGCCCCCTCCTCCCTCCACTCCATTACTCTTTGCTTGCTATTCTTCGCTTGTCCCCACACCCACCTCAGCCTGTGACCTGAGTGTGTGCCCCACCGTCATTGTCCGGAGTTGAATGTCCCTTTGTGGGGGAGGGGGAGATGGGGGAAGTGTCCATCCATGCAGGGGCAGATGGAGGGAGCCATGTCCCGCCCCACCCGTTCCAGTAAAACCCAGTGGGATTTTCACCTTTCTTCACTTTAGTTCCTGTGCATTTATGGGCTGGGAAGCATTTGTGTGGGATTGTGTGCAGCCTCCGTGTTTGTGTGTGCGTGTGCGTGTGCGCACTAGCACAAACTGACTTACCCATGTGTGTAGATGCATGGGATGTGCATGCACAGGAATGGCCTATTGTGTGCACGGGGAGGTGTGTACACGTAGGTGCAGGTAACCTGTTTGGGCATCAGCACACGCCTGTCTGCACATTAGTGTGAGAGGAGCTTTGCATGTGGGCACATGTGTAGTGTGTGTGCGGACATGCCTGGCTGCAAGAGACCTGTCTGGGGCCACATATGGACAGAGGTGTGTACATGGAGGTGCATGTGACCTGTGCCTGTGGGTGCATATGTATGCATGTGTGTGCTGGTGCAGACCCAGGAGTGTGGGAGTAGCTGTGTGTGTGTGTGTGTGTGTGTGTGTGTGTGTGTGTGTGAGACATGTGTGTGTCCCCTCATCCCTGCACCACTCTCCCTGGCTCCCTTCCAGAGCCCTCCGTCCCCACTGGCCCCTCAATGCCCGCCGCACGTCACCCCCCCAGCTGCATGCGCCTTGCTTCTCTGTCCATCAGTGTGTGCTTGACCAAAAGAAACTAAGCTGTCTGGGGGACCCCTGTACCAGGTCCCCACCCCTGCCCACTGTGCTGTGTTACTCGCATGGGGGGGTTTCTCTCCTGCCCTTTCCACAATATGCTGTTTCCCCAAGAGCCTCAGGGCTCTGAGCGGGGTCCCAGGTGGGCCCCCCCGGGGCCAGCCCCAGCTCCGCACCTGCCCCATTCCCCCGTAGGGCCCGTGTTGGTGTAGCAGTGATGGCTTCTGTGGATATTCTGTGACCTCTGTTGGTGTAACTTGACAATTTTTAAATGGAAAAGGGTTGCTGTGTTTTCTGTCTCTTTTTTAATGTCCTTTTTTCTTCTCCCCACCTCCCTGCTCTTCTTTTTTGGTTTTTCTAGCCAAGTGTTTGGGGCTTTAATAAAACTTGTTTTTTTCCTCTCCTGGATCTCTGCCCATTGGCTGCTGTCTCGTTATTTCTCATCCTCACCCTTAGGGTTTAGAAGGAGCTGGGATAACGGGCAGAGGGTAGGAATCCTGGGCAGCCAGAGCCCTCACAGTTGGCAGGTGGGTAAGTAAGGAGGAGTGGCCGTGGGGCTGGCACTGCCCCAAGGGCCGTGGGAATGAATACACCCCAGATACTGAAGAGGGACCCTATGAACCTAGGGGCCAGTTCCTGGCTCAGCAATCCAGGAGGTGCCCCCCAAATCCTATCAACCATCAGTGAAGTAGCTCTGAGTGCTCCTTACATTCCAGTGACAAAGCCAGCACTCAGAGCTGTTGGGCATTTCGCCCCGCGTCACACAATAGGAAAACATAGGCTCAGAATTGAAATCCAGCTCTGCCTGTTCCCAAACCCAATGCTTTCTCCAAAAAACCAAGTAGGATTGAATTACCCCTGGGTGGGTTTCAGCTTCCTGTCCTCTGGTGGGATGACCCTTCATGGGGTTCCCCCATCTTTTCCAGAGCAGCAGCTTTCAGACTTCTGTACTTGTAACATGAACACTGCGCCTTGCATCTCCACCTCCATGCTGCGGGTGTGTGCATGTGTGAGCAAACACTGTCCACTACCTGGATGTTCTACTTGGGGTTGTTGGGGTTTTTTGTTTGTTTGTTTGTTTTTTGGGGGGCTATGCCTGGGATTCCAGAGGTTGCACCAATATTCTAAGTGTCCTGGAGACTGCCCTTCTAGGTGTTGTCCCACTTGGCTGCAGCCTGGCGTTATTGGATCTCTTCTACCTGCCAATTCCCACAAAAAAAAAAAAAAAAAAAATGCACACACACACACACAAAATGACTTGGGGCTGGGGTGGTGGCTCCGTGGAGGAGCAATTCCTTACTTGTGTGAGGCACTAGGTTCGATTCTCAGTGCCACGTATAAATAAATGAATAAATAAAGGTCCATCACCAACCAAAAAAAAAAATTAAAAAACACAAAAAACCCCAAGACTTGTCTCATAAGGTAATGACAGTGTCCTGCAATCCTGAGCTCCCTAAAGCCCCAGTGTCTTTTCTTTTTGCTAAAGTCCCCTTTGGAGCCAAGGGTTGGGAATCTGCTGTCTGCTGGGAATGCCCACTGCGTGAGACCCCTCCTGTCAAGGCCCCCAGCAGCTCTACAGACCTCTTCCTACCCCAGCTCATCCCTTTTGTTGTTGTTGGTACTGGGGATTGAACTCAGGGGCACTCGACCACTGAGCCACATCTATTTTGTATTTTATTTAGAGACAGGGTCTCACTGAGTTGCTTAGTGCCTTGCTTTTGCTGAGGCTGGCTTTGAACTCGCGATTCTCCTGTCTCAGCCTCCTGAGCCACTGGAATTACAGGTGTGCGCCACCATGCCCGGCTCATCCCTGCGTTCTTTAGCATGTCAGCAGACCCTGTCTTCCTTTTCTATCCTGTTCCCAGAAAATTGGGACAGTAGCCAATGCCTCCCTCCTTTATCTCCCCAAATCATCACGCCAAGCATGGACAGTTCAAGATCACAGAACAAATGGAACCCTCAGCCGCAGGCCAGGGATTATGCCAGACACTTCACTCAGCCTTCAGATGCCCTTGCAGGTGAATTCCTGCTCCCTGGAACCACGGGGTCTCTGCAGGGAGCCAGCCAGAAAGCAGGAACACACTTAGCCAATTGTGGCAGGTGGCAAGCAGTGGCCTGTAA